AAATTTATTGAAGCTATGTAAAATATGCATGCCTTGGCACGTTTGACAGACTACAGTATTACTTCTGGTTAATTACTGAACCTTAAAATAATGACACATATGCTTCAACAAGGATGGAAGGCAAAGGCACAAATACCGGATGGTTACGCTCATGTGGAATATAGAGGGGAAAAAAACAAAGGAACTGACAAAACTTAAGCAAAATAAGCCCTAGAAATGACTGCAAAATTGAGTACTAGAGCAGGAGGGTGGGTGGGGTGGGGGCAAACAAGGGAGGGGACCCAGTGGCCTAGAGTAAAGGTGTGGTGTGGTGACATACTGAGGAGGTGTGACCCTGTTCCCCTAAATCATACACAATGTTGTGAACCAATGTTATCTCAATACAGAAAAAACAATTACAAAAATGCCCACATACTTGTTCCCCAGAGAGTTCAGGAAGCACAGAATAGTCTTCTATTTCTAATAACTTGCCTACAAACCAAACTTATACTTTCCCACAATTATTAGCAACCTTGTTTTATATAGTTCATAGAATGACTTGTTTCATTCTTCCAGGAGAAAGAAAAAATTATGTTCATGTATGGTTCCAATTTATAATGCCCTCATGAAGAAAGGGAGCTGTGGTTCCATGTTTGACTTCCAAACCCTCTCATTTCTGAAAAAAGGTGGAGGGGAGCTGAAAAGGAATAATGAATGATCACAATTACTTTGCAGATACATGAAATGTTCATGCTTTGCTGATTCTCTCTGAATTGGTATCTTGAGGGAATCTAATAATAAACTCCATCTCTGACTGAGGAACTAAGTATTATGGGTGCTTATGTCACTTTGGAGAGGTGCTGGGTTCAGAGGAGGGTCCTTGGGTCCCCTCTGAGAAAAGTTTCATCAGAGAAAAGTTTCATCAGAGCTCCCCTTTTCAGCAGAACATGGCGAGTTTCTCCAGGAAAGTTTCCCCACGAGGCAAAGACATTTAGTTATATCCAAAAGAGCAGGTTTATTGTAAAAAGGGAAGGGAAGTAAAGGACACTTGCATAGACACAAGCAGGCAGAAAGCGCCATCCCTGAAAGGGACAGGTTTGTTAAAAGAGAGTCCTGAAAAATACCGGATGGTCTCACTCATAGCAAGAATTCAGAAAACCTAAATAAGGGACCAGGAAAAAGATTAATTAAAATAAAGTAAAAATCAAACTCAACAAGCAACTATAAACCAGAGACACACTATGGGGGGAGGTGGGAGAAGGGAGTAGGATCAAAACAAGGGGGGTGGGAATTGTATGGGGACTCTAACCAAGATGAAAATGCATACATTGTGCAAAAATGAAAAATGTTGTAAAACGTTTATAAAATTAAATAAATAAGTAAATAAAAAAAAGAGAGGCCCACATAGTCCCCGGAGGGCAGCCTTGGGAGTAGAGCTGCGCTGAGGCTTTGCTAAGGGAGAAGGTTGGTGACGAGAAACACCTGCATATTCACAGGCGGGCCGGACAGCTGCATCTTGCCAGGGCAGAGATTGTGCCTATACAGTCTTCTCTTTGGAAGAGGTTCATTCCTTTGTGGGAGTGTTAGCTACTGTTAAATTATTTCTAGGGTTGGCACCTAAGGATTTTTTTCTGTATTTGGCTTGGTTATTTATTTATTTATCTATTTATTATTTATCTGGATATTTGACTTTTTAAAGACTGTTAATCATTCCTACTGCCACCTCCAGTTTCTGGTCTTGTAATGCCTCCTTCCCAAATTTACTCTTCTTAGCCTTCATTAGGTGCCACCAATTGGGATCACAAGAAAGTAAAGCAAAAAGTTGCAGCTGTGTGCCCACAGGATTCTGAAGTAGATTCGTCAAGAAGCTCTCCTTACCTAGAGTAGCAACCATGGTTTAGATGCTCTGGCCGATGCCGTTCTGAATATGCTTAAGTGACCCATGCAAATTAGTATGAAGGTGGCTTAAAAGTGTGGCTTTCAAAACACTTTCTGAAAAATTTTAAAGTCACTCATTAAGTTTTCTAACTAATGAAATACTTCATTAACAGAAGGTAGAAATAACCTAATATTTTTTTGAACCTTCATCACACTTCAGATCACTCTGGAGAATATCACTGGTATAAGCCAGCCTATTCTGGACGTCGTAAAAACATCAAGTTTCCAAACTGAAAAAGGCTCTGAATTTTACCGAAAGCTCCCTGGGAGACCACCTTATTCCCACACTCATACTTACACATCTCCTCTGTCCCTTCTCTGTATAATATTTTTTTTCAGAGAATAATTTGGGCAGGAAAAAAATAACTGACCACAGGTGATTCCTCTTACTCACTTAGGCAAAAGAATCAGAGCATTTAGTTTTAAGATGCACACACACAAAAAGCAGAGCAGAAATCTGCTTCCTACACCAATAAGCAATACAAAGTGGACCAAGTGGTAGACCAAGGCAATGATCAAAATAGGCCCTTATGCAGAGGTCTAAATGCTGTGTTTACATCAACATGAAGTTCAACTTGCACCTCCAAAACTATTTTTCAAAATAGAAACTCTTTATTGTAAATGTGATACTTACCTCACTGAAAAAAATGAAATTTAGGCAGCAAACATTTTGTGGAAAGAAATAACCATCATTCAGAGATTACAACTTGGTATTTTTGTAGAACTTTGTTCTAGATGTATGCATTTCTAAAAGTAGCATATTATTGTAGGGGAGCAAAAATCTGCCTCCCCCAAATGTCCTTTTTGCAAAAGATTTATTTCATGGAAGGGGCTCTGAAGACAGAGTAGTTGCTTTTGATATTTTTTATGTGAACAACTCTCTTACAGAGGTCTGTCCCAGAAAGACTAATCTTACAGCTCTTTTTACCTGGGGAGGCAGAACTAAATCTACCTACCTTTTGTTTGCAGTGCCTTCCCCAGTAAACAAGTTCCCCTTTCTTCCTTCAGTCTCCCTTGTCTTGGCTTCAGAAGCTGTATCTTCATTAGCTAAGTGAGATGATGTTATGCTGGGGTCTCTCCCTTGGAGGTATACATTATTCGTAAACATCTTTTTGGCTTCTTTTATCACTCTGATTGTGTCTTTGTCAACCTATAAGAACCCAGAGGGGTGCTAATGATTTCCTTTGGGCCCCAACTTGATCGAATAATGTCATGGCATGTCTATAAATCTTCATGGTTATTTTTAATATTGGTAAGATTTTTTACCATCTGGGAATTACAAAATCATTTAACCAATCTTTCCATTTTTTTCCTATTATAAAAATGCTGCAACAAGCATCTTTGTGTGTACAACTTTGCTTACTTCTCTCATTATTAGAACAAATTCCCAAAAGTGATAAATTAATAGTTTAAATGATACATCAGTTTTTAAAAAAAGGTTTTGATAAAAATTGCTCCAATTTTCTTTCTAAAGATAAAAACACTTTTCAGATTTACCCTACTCATTTCTAAGTTCATGTTGAAAAGTATTTTAAGAGTTCAAGATGCAAAGATTTGATGAGCCATATGTTATAAGGACATATGTCTGTTCCAGTCAGAAATGCTGTTGGCCAGACCATCTTCAGTCATTCCTATCCCTTCTCCTTTACCCACTCTCAACATAAAGCCTACTTGTTTTCACTCTGCCTCTTATACAATTCTGGCCAATAGGATACAAATAAAAATGTACTGGAACTTTCTGACAAAGCTTGTACTCTCATGGCAAAAGATGACATATTTGGAACTGTCTCTTCCTGCAGCTTTGGATTTAAATAGTCTGGAGCTGTGGGTTTACTACAACCATAAGGAATATGGCCAGAAATCATTTGTGATGTGAAAAAAAATTACCCATTTGCTTCAACTACTCTTAGTTTTATTATTGGCAATTAAAAACATTACTGACAGATAAAATATAAGCTATGGTTTTGAGTTATAATTATCAAATGTATTTAAAAATCGGGATAAAATATCTACATATAGCAAGAAATGGTGAAATGGACCTTTAGTACTAAGAGCCACAAGCAATATGCACATTTAAGAGGACGGAGTAGTTAACAAAATGGAGATGGGGTGCAGTGTGTGGCAGAGGACTACTGTGTTTATCAAACCTTGTTTTCTTTTCCTCTTAGGCATACAACCAAACTGTATTTCCCCTCTTTCTTCACAGGGAGATGGAACCACAGCTCAAGTCCTGGCTAATGAAACGTGAGCAGAAGTGATGTTTCTGATTCTAGAACTAGGCCATAAAAGAATCCCAGGTAATCTTTGCTCACTTTCCCCATCTGCTGGTCAAATGGAAATTTTGAGTGCAATCATAAAATGGAAGGAGGCTGGGTCCCTAAAAATAGAAGAGCTCTTCCTCTGTAAGACTAAGATGTGGGTGACATAATATTTTATAGTGTTAAGCTCCTGAGATCAGGGATTTGTTTATTACAGTAGTTTGCAGCATTCACTCTAACAGAAGTGGGAAGAAAAAAAGATTTAAAAATAAGGATGTGTACTACATGGTATAAATGGGAAGGGTGCTACCAGCCTTTTCCCAGCTCTGACTTAAATTAACTGAACTCCATTTTATGATACAGATTTCTCAAAATATTCAACATTTAGGATGAACTGTTTTAAAATTTCTTTTTGTTACTTTCCAAATTTACTGTTTTTTGAGAGGCTTGGTTACCTCTTGGTAAAAGAATTTAAAAATCTTAAGACTGCGTTCCCTAAGCAACTGGTTAGGAGGAAACTTTCTACTGAAGTTTAACAATATAAAAATTCCTTATTAAGCAATTTCCACTTTTTTTGGGTTATATCCAAATGAAGTTTTCCTACATGACTAATACTAAAAAAAATGAAATCGTCCCAAACAAAACTCATTCCTTACCTAATTGGCCATGTCTTAACATCTATGATACAGCTACTACTGTCAATAGGAATATAAAGACACATAAATTCAACTGATAAATTATATATTACATGTTTATTAAGGGTACAACCTTTATGTAAAATTTACATTTTATGAAAAAATCAAAAATATTTACAAAATTTTGTAAGATAGATTTACTCAAAGTAGTAAATAACAATTCTTAAAAACTCACATTTGTTAGAGTTCTGTGTTTACAAATTCTTAGTTAAAGAGGCAGCTACAAAGTTTATCACTGTACATAAGCAAGAACCAGCTTGCTAAATACATTTCCCATTGAAAATCTGTTTTTTACACCATTAGTGGATTTTTAAATGGAAAAAAGGTCAGTATAAACTCATATGGCTTCAAAATTGTAACCTGCACCCAATACAAATTTATCAACACTTGGTATGAAGACTGTGGTAAATAAGAAAGTGCAGAAGTTTAACCATTTCACTAATTCATACATATTTTTAAGGTAATACTTGATTGAAAACAAACATGGTGTGTATAATGGTGTCTGAATTCCAATAATAAAATATTAACTGCCCAATAAAAGCAGTTTCACTGCAAAGCAGTTACAGTTAAGATTCCAGTAAGGGACTGTAATTGGCATATAAAAGAACACAATATAAGAGTTAGGCATTCTAATTTTACTGTTTAGTAAAGATGAATATTCTAGCAAATTGTCCTATGTGTTGCTTCAGTCAAATCTAAATTTAGAATTGGGCTAACACTGAATACATAAAAAGCACATATTGTGTTATATATATTGCTAATGAGTAATCTCTGCTGTATTTAGGTAAAGCAAGATGTTACATAAATGTCTAATAAGGGGTATTTTCTGTAAAGCTTAACAGATTAGTGGTTTTATATAAATTACTATATATAACACAAATTTATCACTTCTATGCAAAATGTAAGATATGGGTATTTATAAATAAAACTCCCAGTTGCAAATTATAAAACTTTATCCAATATAATGCCATAAATTGTTAAAATTAGGTTTTTTAAAGGAAGTTTTACCCAATTCATACTTCAAATTTCCATTTTTAGTGGGTGGCAAATAAGAAACCACACAAAATGCAGTACTTCTGTAATGGCAAAATTAATCTTTTCAAAAATGTATTCCTCACAAAATACTACAAAACTCATACTCACAACATATTCAGCAAATGTATACATTTCCAGTGATAAACAGAGTAAAAGGAAATACTGAGTTAAAATACTAATTACCAATTTACCTGTTTTAAGAATGACATACTTTTGATGAAATTGAGGTCAAATATCTAAAGGCAATTTTTTTCCCCATTAGGTATATTTCTTTCTAGTGTCTACAGTGTATCACAAAAGAAGTGAACCAGGGTTGGTAAGTAAATTACTCTTTTGTTATTCTGAATTCCCCTCCCAACTGCAGTCAAAAGATTCTGATTAGAAGATACAGACTGAGAGGAAAAAAAAAGTGAGGCACATCAATGAACACAAACTGGATAGGCACATCTCTGGTTTTTTGTTATTGTTTTAAAGGCACACATTATGCAATTCATAGAAAAATAAATTAATTCTACAACATTAATTCATCAAAACAATCACAACTTCTATAAAGTTAACTAACTGCAGAAGTAAATTTCTCTGCTGTTTTTGCAAGCTTATTTTAAAACACATTGCACTTGAGGATTTTTTAGAAAATAATATAAAACACCATTTACACTTTGCTTATATAAGATTCAAATTATAATTTTTTTGCATATAACTTGGGCACTGGTCTGATTACTTTCATGGCACATAACTCAATCTGATTGAGTATTCTAAGTTAACATCCAAAACTTAGAATTCATGTCCTATTTGTATCTAAAGCTATCTAACTCCAAAATTTTATGGAAAGCTAAATTTTGTGCTTGCTCTCCGAAATTTTAGGCCTGATATCACACTATAACCCCTTTTTAACAGACACTGAAGATAATTTAAAATTTCAGCTTATGAGAACTTCATTTTACTGAGAATCTGAGTAAATGTGCTTCCTGAATATTTCAGTTGATCATTTACAGCATTGAAAATGATTTCAGTGCTATTTCTTTTGATGACTCACTTCAAAAGTGCAATTTAATATTTGTAGTCAGCTCTTAAATATGTCTAAGTTTTAAAGACATACAAGTTAAAATAGTGTTTGGAAAGAATAGATAATGCAGAATGGCAGGTTTGTACTACCCCCTTGAGCCAACCACGTTCCAGGGCCATCAACAGTCAGCCAGGTACCGACCTGAAAAACACCAAGCAGACCTTACAAATGAACTCACAGGAGGATCTTTTCACTGTGGTCATAGACACAGAACCTAGTTCCCATCGCTATTTACACTACATCAAAATCAGATCACAGGTGCTCAGCTACACTGACTAGGGGTACTCTCCCCCAGGTGTGTGTCTACTTGGCACCTTGTACCAAAGGTCCAAGAAAAAAATGTCCTGCCTTTACATTATACTTGGCAGTTGTTTAGTAACTGACTTTTAGAATACACAATTTCCCCATGTATTAAGAAACTGGAAATCTCCCAACTTACCAGTGGCAAACCGCTTCTTTAATAAGGAAAGCCGATAGCCAGTGCCTACAAGTTCAATGTCTACTCCTGAGAGGGTACTTCCCTCACTGAGGAACTGCACTGCAAGTGTTGCAGGTTTACTCGGTCCTTCTGAAAGATCAAATTTTGCTCTGAGGGATCCAGAACCTATGAAAAATAAAGATTTATACAGGGTAACATAAACTTCAAATGACCAAGTAAGCTAAATTCTACCAGTCCTATGCCAAATTCATGAAATGTGTACAGTAAACGAACTGTCCTATTTCCAAATCAGACTTAATCAGTGAATCTAAATTTTCATTAATCTAAATCTTTGTTTACTACTGAGATTCCAAAGCTATACTATGTTAGTCGCTGAAGGACAGCTCAGAGGGAAGCCCCAGGACTGAGGGATATGAGTAGGAACAAAGTCAAATCGCGGTAATGGGAGAAGGAAAGATAGCTACGACTGAAAAAAGCTATATCGACATTTCAATTTTCTATTCACCTTTTAAAAATTTAACTGGTCCAACATTATGCCAAATAGATACTTCTAGGGGTGCTTTCTTTTTGATAAAACCATTTATTCCACATACCTCAGTCTAACAGCATGGCATAAACAGTAAACCAAATAATTGATAAATGCTGTCATAGAGATCTTAGAAGCTGTGGGCACAAAAGCACATAAAATGGGGGTGATGGTGTGTATTTCACGAAATGGTTACTACTTCTATATGTCAGAAAGAAAGGTAATAGGATACAAGTGGAGAACTAGAGATGAGACTAGAGTAGAAGCAAGGAACAAGCTCTAAGTATCTTTACCTGCCATAAGAAACTTATGACAGAACCACAGGCAGCCACCAAGGATAAGGAGAACAAAAACATTGTACACTGGAGTAGCATGATGCAGGGTAAGGAGATCTAGTGAAAGTCAATAAAATAGTGTTGGGTTCTGGTGACAGATCTGAACTAGGTTAAGGAAAAGGAAAGAAGGGAAAATATTTGGAAGATATTTAGGAGTTAGAACCAAGGGGTGATAAAGGTGTCTAGGAAGGTTCCAGGTGCTGGTTAGGGAAAGTAGACAGAATTGCTGAATAGCAGGAATATTCTGTGATTCCCTGTACAGAAATTTAACACTGCAGAGAGAAATCTTGAGGAAGGCACCTAACCACAGATCCAGCCTATATTGCCTGGTGGCACAGATCATTAGGGAAAGATGAATTGCTGTCTAATTCTTAACCACTGTAATTTTTGACATATAATTCAATCCTATGAAACTGTGACAGCGGGCCAAGAGCACCACCTTGGCAATTCTTAAGCTTTAAAATTATTTCCTGTATCTCTTCTGGGCATAAAGCCAAAATAGAAACAGATTTCTATTTTATAGTATTCTAATTTAGATACATCTTTTTAAATGCTGACTAACCAAATCAGAACCACATTTTAAGACATTTCCATGTCCTTATGCAGACACTCTGATACCTGAACAGCAGAGATTAAAAGAAAATCTGTGTGTTATTTTTGAGAAAAAATACCCTTGGTATTTACATATAGTCTGATTAAATAGTAGAAAAACACAGCTTTCTTCCTTGCAAAATGGTTTTAAATCCTTACTTCAAATAGGACTTATGGTTTTCAGTTTCAACTAGGAGTTTCAGTTTTGCCCCCCTAAAGTCACTGAACAAGAGTGAAAGGCCACCTAAAAATAGGGACCTTTAAGTACCAAACAGCAGCAAAGAAGTACAGATTTGCTTGGTTATTTCATCCAATGTGTGGTATACTAGTACAAGTTTGATTTAGCAAGGCAGATATAAATTAGTAGTTAATACAGAAAAGCTACTGATGTTTTGATCACATGATGCTTAAAAATGTTCAAAAAGCTGAGCAAACTTGAAAAATTATTGCAGGTTAATTAGGCAAAGAAATTCTCTTCAATGAGAGAAAGACAAATAATTAATGTTAAAGACTTAATTGAGAATGTAATTCTCAGTTTAATTAAGTTAGGAGTGATCAGCTAGCAAATTTTTTTTTTTTTTTTTAACATTGGGAACACAAACAGATGCCGACTTAGAAGTAGCTATTAACATCTTGAAATAGATAGACTTGAAGGCTGGGCACTTCTACAAAATTTCTGGGTGGCCAGGAGGACTCCATAAACAGAATGAACTAAAGAGTGAGTTCAATCAGTTTCAATTAGTTATCAGGTTACCTAGCTGGGATAGTTCTGTTTTTTTAAATTTACTTTGTTAGCCCAGAAACGTTAAGCATTTACACAATAAAGTTACAGCAAAACAAATTCTTTTTCTTACAGAGAAAGCATATTCAATCAAGAGGGGAAAAAAATGTGCTCTGAATTTGGTCTACGGTGTTTAAGGTCTTAACTTCCACCTAGTGGTCAATTCTAGAACTGAAGGCATGAAATTCCAAGAACAAACTGCATAAACATGTCTCAAAAATCCATTTCAGTTATATTATAAAGAAAAAAGCATGTACACACTCACCTCCATTTTCTGATTTTTCTGAAATTCCAGACAGTTTCCAAAAGGCTTTCATCTGTTCTGCATTCCTATAAAAAGAAATATCTTCAGATTGCCTATCCCTGTATAGGATACTGTATTAGATAACCAAGTGAGTAAACCAATAAAAACAGTTATTTCACCGAGCAATTATAGTGCTAAGTTTACTTTTAATAGTATCACCTGGTAAAAATATGTTTGATATAAATATGCTGTATCTTAATTAATGGAAGTTTACTAAATTATGTAATTCTCATTTCTATTGGTTAGAAAAAAAAACCGAATGTTTAGGTGACTGAGTGCCTTCATCTCTCAAGGAAAACACTAATGGTGAAGCAAACAGAGTGGTTGGAGTCTAACAGAGGGGACAAAAGAGGTAATTAAAAGGTATGTCAATGCTATACTTTAATAATATCCTTATTTTTGAAAACTTATAGAGGTTTTAGCAATGAATCATTCAAGTCTGGGTGGTGACAGCAAAACCAGTTTTGTTTACTTTGGAATGAGGCTAGTGTGGCTTAACGAGTAAAATGAATAGCATCTTTTATAGAATGGTTTCTATGGGAAAACACAAACTTTTCAAACTAGTAAGTCAACTTTCAGAACTTAGGTTCTAAAAGTGGGGGGCTGCAATAGAAATTGAGCAGAAACTCAGAAATCTACTTAATTTACCATATTGCAGGAGGGATGGACTGCATGTTTGTGACTCCTCCGTCCACTGGTACAACCACCTGTATGTTGGAAAGCGTATTTGGTGCCACCATAGCTCCTGGGTTGTACTTATAATCCACTCTAAGATCTGTGGTGCCAGGAGTACATTTCCAATATGTTGCAAGATTTAAAGGAGTAGAATGAATACCATTTGATGATACCTTTAAAGAAAAAAAAAAACAAAACCCAAACAATTGACTTAGGCCTAAAAAGTAAACAAGTCATATTAATGACATGTATACTTGAACTCAGCAGTTCACACAGCTGTTTGCTAGGTAAAGCAGGCTCTTCTCAAAGAACTAACTTATTCTTAAAGGGTGAGCCTGGGACTACCTACATCAATATCTTCATGGTACTTGGTTAAATGCACAGTCCTTGGCTCCAAATGCAGAAAATCTAATGTAACAATTTAGATGCAAGGCCCAAAAATCAACATGTTACCAGGTCATTCTTATGCATGTAATGTTAGAGTACCTTAACATATTGATATAAGGGATAAAGAATCTAGCATTTAGATGGAAAAAAGGATGGGCAACCTATACAGTTCTGTAAGCTTGTAATTAGAATACTTCCAACCTCAAATGTTTAATTTTAACCACATGACTCACAGTAAATGGTAAAGATCCTTTCAACTCTTCAGTTTGCTTCGAAGATTTCAATTGAGACCTACCCTGTTTCATTTGCATTGACTCTTCCTTACTTTATATTCTATATACTTTTTCATTTCTCCATGCCACCTTCTTTTTTTATTATATATACAAGTTTTTTCAAGGATATAAATTTTCTTGCCAGAGTTTTTTTTTTTTTTTAGATATTTACATCATTTTTCATTTTTGCACAAAGTATGCTTTTTCATTTTGGTTATAGTCCCCATACAATCCCCCCACCCCCGTAGTGTGTCTCTGGCTTACAGCTGCTTGCTGATTTTGATTTTTACTTTATACACAATGGAATACTACTCAGCAATCAAAAAAGATAAACTCATGCAATATGCAGCAACATGGATGGAGCCGGAAGGGGTCATGCTCAGCGAAATAAGGCAGAAAGAAAAAGAAAAACACCAGATGGTCTCAATCATAGCAGGAATTTAGAAAACCTAAATAAGGGACCAGGAGAAAGACTAATTATAATAAAGTAAAAATCAAAATCATACTACTTGCTTTCTTACACAATTATTTACTTACTATGTTTACTGTTGGTTCATTTCTGGGCATTAGATCGGGAAAGAAACACTGAATATCTCCTGAATGAATGATGAACACTTGGAAGTCAATTTAAGTGACAGTACTTTTATTTATTTCATAGAAACAGCCATTTGAATTAGCTACCCTCACAAAAATTCAAACAATAGATAAGCATATAAAATGGCGAACTTATCCTTGTCATTCTTATTCCCTGTTTTTAACATTGTGGTATATAGTTCTGTGCAAACATGTTAGGCATATGCAAATGTGGATCTCTTTATAATGGCCATGGTAATTCATTTAATCAGTCTCTTCCTCTGGATATGTACTTAGGTGGTTTCCAAACAATGCTGCAGTGAACATTCCTTGCACCTTATCTCTTTTTCTGCCTGACTTCTCAAAGTGGAATTCTTTAATTCAAGAAACAATCTGTTCGTCTATTCAACAATCTAAGATTCTATTAATCTGTACTTCTACTAACATGTAGTCACACCTCTTAAAACTATTAACTCGGGCCTCCCCAGTGGCGCAGTGGTTGAGCGCTGGGGTGCGAAGCTGCCCTCAGCCTCTGCAGCGCCGGTTCGATCCCGGGCCGCCGGGCGAGGGTCCTACATGCTGTGCAGACCTCTCTTGCCACCTGCTGCTCCCCTCAGCAGTGTACTTTGTCAATCTGCCTGCTCTGCTCTCCCCTCTGGCTTTGGTGAATTCTCTCACTCTCCCGCGCTTCTGACTGTACCCAGTGCTTGTATAAAATAAATCTTAAAAAAAAAAAAATATATCCAACAGCTCTGATTATGGAAAAATGTCTAATTCAGTTTACTAATGGCAAGGGACATCTTCTTTTACTATATTATGGGGCTCTTTAGAGGAAGTCTTTTGATATATATTACAGGTATTTTCCCCCAGATTAAACATTTAACCTTTAAACAAAATAAATGTATAAATTTGTTTTAACCAAATATTTTATGCATTTATTCAGTTTTGTGTCAAATATCTCATTCTCCAAGTGCATGGTTTCTGGGTTTTTTATCGTACTTAGGTCTTCCACACGTCAAGATTAAAATATATAGACACATAAATATATTTACTTATGTTTATCTTTGGATCGCTATGGATTCATTTACCATTAATAAACCTTTGACAATGCGGATTTCATTCTGGTTAAAGGTATGAGTTAGGGTTTCAGCTTAATTTTCCCCAAATCTCCAGCTTGGTGCCCCAAAATGATCTATTGAAAAGTGTCATTTCCATATTGCCTTCAAGTGCTATATATTGTTACATAATTTTCTATTCTTAGATCTATTTCTCAATAACCTGTTCTATTCATCTGACCATCTATTGGCATAACAGTTTAAAACTAAATACTGTCACCTAATACATTTTCCCATCAAAATTAAAATTCATTCCACATTGTTGGAAACACTTTTTATTCGTCCAAGTTCTATTCTTCCAGAAAGCTTAAAAATGACTGCCAAGCCTCAAAACATATACATATACACCTCTAATGTAATCTCATTCAGAAATCAAATAAACTTAATTTAGAAGCAGCTAAATTCTTTACATGAGTCTTCATTCATGAAGTATTCCTTTTTAACTATATTCAAGTGGGTAAAGATTATTATGTAACAAAGGCAACATTTTATATTTATTAAAAAAACAAAATTACAAAGACATGAAGAGCAAAATCTTTTTGCTGTCTGATACATTTAATGTCATTATTTGGGCCATTTTTTACCTAGTTTTATTGTAAATATTCAGTAGTTTTCTACACTTGGCTGTTTGAGAGCTATTTTTAAGCTGATCACTTTAAACTCTATATTATCAGATGATTCTAGTGAGTTTTCCAAGAATATAACCTATAAGCAATGTCCTTATGAGAATATTCTGGTTCTTCCTTTCCAATTCTTATTACTGGTTATTTTAGTCTCTTGTCTAACTGCTCGAAGACATTCAGAAGAATTTTAGATACTACTAATAATGACCATTTCATTTGTTATTCCTGACTTTGATAGTTTTAGCTGTTTCATTACTAAGATTGATGCTGCTGGCCTTTCATGTATTTATATTTTACTCAGTATTTTAATCAGGAATAGATGGTACCTTTGATCAAAGTGGTCATAATCTCCATCTCCATAGGTTTATTGAGATTTTCTGATTTTGAAATACATTTGCATTCTAGAAAGAGTACCATCACTGATACATAATTCATTTAATGATTTGCATGATTCTATTTGTTAATACTGTAATTTAGAATTTTACAATGACATGACACTTACCTGATATTTTAATACATCTACATTATAATAAGAAGCAGCTGGATTTTGCTCTGATAGCTTCTTGAGGTAGAGAGTAACAGCTTGCATATTCATCCAAAAATCCTTTGTGTTAGAATCACACTGTGATGGGTCACTGTATGTACAAGAAATATTTTTATTTTATATGACTTATCTTTATCCTTGCTTCTGTATAGTAATTTGGCCTTGGAAAGACAAGTAGAAACGAACCAAAAGGGAAGACGGGGAAAAACTAAATTTAAGGGATAAAGAATGGAACACAGCCCTTGAAGCTTGACTGAAAGATGAGAAAGATTTAACGATAACTACTACCATGACCACCAAAACCAAAAATGCAGCATAAGGCTTTTTTATTATAATAATTTAGGTATTGTCTTCCAATTAAAATTTATTGCTTCAAGAAAGGAAAAAAATTCTAAAAAACAGTTTACCTTCAAAACAAAAATATACAAACCTGAACACAAGTTGTGCATTTGGAAGAATTTGCTCTAGTCTGCTGATATTTTTCACCCTGAAGCATAGCACAGCTGGAGATGGATTGCAAGTGAAGACTTTAATAATTCCACTTGGAAATGATATTGTCATATCACCGGTGATCTTCACGATACACCTGAAATTAGGGGTTTCAAAACATTTAAGTAGTAAAGTTTTAATCTCCATGTAAAGCATATTTGATTTAAAAACCATGCTTTTAAATCATGATTATGATTTTTCAATTTCATCATAAAAAAATAATTCTTTGTGAAATGGTATACTCATCTAGCATTAGATTGTCCTAGAATTAAACTCCAAACACAAATGCTAGAGTGTCCCTCCAAAAACATTGGTCATCATCATTTCTCTTCTCAAAAGCCTCCACTAGCTTCTTGTGTCCCTCAAAATGAAAGTCAGACTTCTTAGGGTCTACATACCTATCCTTTTCTGGTTCCTCGTAGGATTCATTTTTGACTTCTCTCTTCCTGCTTATTCCTACTTAGAGACATGGTTCTCCTTGCTATTTCTTAAATATGCTAAGCATGTTTCTACCTCAGTCTCTTGCCAGAATGTTCTTCCCTCAGAGAGCGGCACGGATTGCTTCTCAATGTCTTTCAAACACTTGCCTAAATTAATCCAAAAAAGGTTTTCTCTGTTCATTTTATCTAAAATAGTAGCTCTCTGTTGTAATTCTCCACCTTCTTACCCTTGAGTTTGTTTTCTTCATATCAATACCCCGACTTTTCCGGTAATAACACACATTCATCAAATATTTGCATGCTTAGTTTGTATAAGACTGTTATAAATGCTGAGGATATTTCAGTAAACAAAGTTCTCTCCAGAACTTGCATTATCAAGAAAAAATTAATCAAACTTTGCTCATAATAAAGTTTGTAAGAGTGTTACAAATAATAAGCACTCGAATATTTGATAAGTGAAATAAATTTCGAATGAATAAAGTTAGGCAGGAAAAGTAGGGGTCATTCACCCAAGCAACATCTTAGAAATTCCTACTAGTGTCTCAAATAAGATCTTTCTTGTAAACATAATTTCACTCAAGATACACATTAGGCCAACATTCAGTTTCACCCTCATCCAGGTCAGCTGTCATAACTGTGATCGATAGATACATTAAAAAACAGATGTGTCAAACTGGTAATAAAATCTGGGCAAGAATGTAAATAAACTGGAGGAAAAGCTATTACTATTGCTGATTACAGTGATTTTTAAAATTTGAGAAGTAACCCCAAAAGAACTATAATTAATAGCAACAAAAAGCAGATAAATAGAAAACCCTAACCTATACAGAATCAAACTAAAATTTACCATACTGCCCCCCCACCCCCAAGCATTTCTTTGTTAAAACTAACTTGGTGGGATCTGCTCCTTTAAAGTAGGCATTAACAGATTCTGTAAGAGCAACTGCCACAGGTAAGGTATCCTGATTTCCAAGGCTGACAGGGCTGGGACCTCGTGACACACCTAGAATACACACAATTCATTTGTTAAATCCCACAGAAAGATATTAAGTATCAGGACAGATTCACAATGTTAGCTTGTCACAAACAACTATTACTGGTTTCAGTGATGTCCCTCAGTATAAATCTGGAGGTTAAGAAATGTAGCATATAGCAAATTGGAACATAATACAAAAGAAAAAAAAAAATCAGGAAAACATGTCACAGTTACTTCTTTGAAATGCAATGACACAGAAGGTTGGGTTAAGAAATGTCAGGGGAAAAAAGCACTTCATCTTAGGAGTTAAAAATACTAATTTTTTTTTTCTAAAATGTTTTAAAAAACATTCAGATACTGCCTTGGCATAAACTTGGATAGAAATAGCTACATACAAAAGCCATTGGTTATTTCTAAATGAATAGTATAATGGTTAATTCACTGCTCATTGTATCATAATTCTTTTACCTCGTCTTTGTATTATATTCCCACTTGCATCAATAAATACAACTAATAACATTTTCTATAGTATTACTAACAAAGTTCAGTCAGATAAGACAACTTTAGAATCAAACTACCATAAATGTAAACAAATTTAATCTATGCATGGTTCCAGAGTTTTAACCAAAACATCTGGTTTAATTCATTAAAAAAATTCCCTCAAAATAGTGCACTGCCTTTGTACTTCTTCACATGACTGAAGTGGAGCATTTCATGTAATGTAAAAGTAAATGAAACTTTGAATAAATATAACTGTCCTATTGACTTTTCACATTCTTAAAGAAAAAAAAAAAAAACCTAGGTCAATGTGAATGTTATGAGTGTATAAATGTTCAAAGCCATCATGTATTTTTACTTCATACGTGATCATAGTGAAAGACAGTTACTTTTGACATACCTAGAGTATTAATTCTGACAAAAATCAGTACTGCCTTTCAAGCTATTTCACAACTAAGCCTGAGATTCTACAAACAGTGAGAAAGAACTTTTGTTAGCTACATCTTAGAGGCTAAGGTCATTTTTGTGGTATTTGATATTTTAAAGGAACTTTGATCTAGAAGATACTTGTTAGAAAAATTACTCAGTGATTAAAACTGTAACAACTGCTGAGCCTAGGCTATTAGAAAAAGTACCCTCCTCCCCACCAACCCACACAAGACAAGTTTCATATTGAAAAGTATGAAAACTTACAAAAATCACAATAGCTACTATTTACTAACCATTAACATGTGCCTCTTTGCTAAGGTGACACACAAAGTCTTTCTGAATCACAAGTAATTTTGCAAAGAAGCAGCATACTCTGTGGATGAGGGAGGATAAAAGGACATGAAGAGGGGCCTAGAGAAGTGTTTATAATCCAGGTCAGGGTACAGTGAACATTTAATTTTATCCTTTAGCATGGAAAATATTTAAGATGAACGTAATTAGGTTTTTAATTTAGTACTAACACTGACTGGACTAAAGAGAGAGATCACTGCTGAATCAGGTTTAGAGATGATTAAGTGAAAGACAGGGGTCTGATCAAGCAGTGGTACTTTCAAGGATGTACATAAGAAAATGTTAGGTAATTACAAGTGTATGAAAGTTACAAAACATGTATTTATATACATGTTTGCACTGGGAAAACTTCACTGTAAATACACAAATCAGTTGAATCAACTTTTATACAAATTGTTCTAAACTAGAAGGTCATTAGACATTCAGGGCTCATTTTCAGAGAAAATATGAAAGACAGAGTAATCTTTTTATTAAAAAATAATATTCTCGGGGCCTCCCTGGTGGCGCAAGGGGTTAAGTCTCAGCACTATGAAGCTATCTATCAGCAGCCACTGCAGCACATTCAATCCCTGCCCAGGGAGCTAACCCACATGGCACAGCAGACCTCTCCTGTCTTCGTCCACTGGTCCCCTCAGCAGTGTATTTCGGTCAATTCACCTATCCTGCTCCTCACTCTGTCTCTGGTGAATCCCCCTCACCCCCACCTCTGGCCTACACCCCAGCTCTTGTATGAATAAATAAATCTTTTTAAAAAATTATTCTCAAATATGAAATTAGTCTCTCCCCTAAGATTTTAACCTACAAAAATGGATTATTTACCTATAGTCATGGATAACAATGTCTGCTGCTTCTTGGGCATTAAAAAGAAACCTACAAAATTATTTTAATTGAAAACTACCCAATTTGAGCACATAAATGAGAATTCTTTTTTTTTTTTTTTAAGATTTATTCATTTATTTATACAAGAACTGGGGTACAGGCCAGATGCGCGAGAGGGTGAGAGGATTCACCAGAGACAGAGGACAGAGCAGGGAACAGAACAGGCAGACTGATGAAACACACTGCTGAGGGGAGCAGCGGGCGCAACAGGAGAGGTCTGCCGCGCCATGTGGGACCCTCGCCGGTTGGCCGGGATTGAACCGGCGCTGCAGAGGCTGCGGACAGCTTCACAGCGCTGTGCTCAACCGTCTGCGCCACCAGGGGAGGCCCATAAATGAGAATTCTTGAAATAGTTTTCCTGTAAACAGTTTATGCTCATTATCGAAATATGGCAAGTGGAGAAAAGTAGTGAAAAATTCTCAAAATCCAGTTAACATTTTGGCATACTTCCTCTTGTGTTATCTATTTCATTTCCTTTTAAGATCATATTGCACATGCATACTTTAAAGAAATGTTTGCCAAAGGAAATAGATACATAAGTCCCCTAAAGGTCTATACTGTTATTCAGAATAACTTATTTATGCCTAAAAGAACTGGGGTGTAGGCCAGAGGTGCAGGGGGTGAGAGGATTCACCAGAGTGGGGAGCAGAACAGGAGGATCTACTGAAATTTACTGCTGAGGGGAGCAGCGGGGGAGACAGAAGAGGTCTGCTGAGCCATGTGGGCTAACTCCCTGGCCTGGAATCGAAACCATGCTGCACTGGCTGGCGATAGCTTGACAGCATTTAGACTTTAACCCATGCGCCACCAGAGAGGTCCAGAATAATTTTTTACAAATAAATCCCCTTGTATTCTTTGTAAGATACACAGATTCTGATTTTGGTTTAAATGATTTTGTTACAAAAATGCAGAGAGCTTATGAAGCTAAGGTATTTTCAGATAAGTAAGGGGTACCTTCCTATAACAGTGACTGTTACTCAATGGATTCCTTTCAGCTCAAGAAAAAACAGACACTCACTCCCAATGCTTTCCTACTTGTCTGCCTGGAACTTAGGTTCACCATAGATATGATTTGTGCATAACTTTTTTAACATTCATTCTGCTTTTCTAATCACTTCTCTGATTCTGATAGCATTAAGATTTATTCTATTTAAAAATGTTGAAAAGAGCAGAGAGATGGATACTAAAAAATACTGTATATTTTTATAAGTGGGGATTGGATATCAAAAGAGTCTATATAGCAACTGGACATAATTAGTACAAAATTGAGATAGTTAAACCTTAGGAGTTATTCTTGATTTCTGAGACACCATACATTGCTGGAAAAAAGAAAAATTAGATAAAAGTATTTTAGATACACTTTAGGCTCATTAGTCAACACAGATTTGCTGTTGATACGATACCTTGTGAAGTCTCACAGTGCTTTTCAATTTCAGAGAGTGTCCCAATCAAATTATCATCTTCTATCATATTTAAATAAAACAAAATATTGCAGGAAAATATTTTCAAGAAACAAGAAGAATCAAAAAATTTAAATCTAAAAAGAACTGAATAAGCATCATAATAGAGAACCTTCTTTAAATCTACCTAAAAAGTTAATTGTAGAAAATTTGTACACATCCTGCCTGCCTGTATCACTGTCACCTCCTTGTGGTTCTTCTAGTGCCAGCACTGGCTTACGCTAAACACAAGTATGTTCCAACTCAATCAAAATTAAAGTTCCCATCACAAACAGAAAACCTTCCAAATAATCTAGATAATGGAAAAGAACTCAAGTTTACTTTGGTTACCCAAACCACCTGCCTGATTTCTAATAGGATTCATCTATGTTGTTATGCCTAAAATGCTGTGCAGGAACAAAATTTAAAAAGCATACATACAAAGAAAAAGAATAAAGTATGCATTACAGCAACAAAAAGAAGATTGTTAGATATATTCTGTTTACATAGTTAAAATATGGGGAAGAACATATGTCCACAAAAGTATATAAAATGACATATGCGCATTTAGAAATCAACTTATTTTTTATGTCATTTCTACAATGACTGCACATACACAACTGCACCATTCCTATGTGAGCTTTACCAGTTAAATCAGCCTATTTTGGGGCTATGATTCCCAAACTTTGAATCATCTCGAAGGCCTTTTCAAAGACTGCTAGTGCCTACCCCAGAGCTTCTAATTTTCAAGGTCTGCATTTCCTATAAGTTCCCAAGTGATGCAGATGGGTACTACAAGGTCAAGTACCACAATTTGAACACTGCTAAATTATGTTCAGTGAAAATCAGTGATTTGCATTATCAGCGATAAACCCATTACTACTTAAAAGCCTCAACAATGGGGACTGTTGTAATTTTGATGGGAAGCTGCTGCTCCTGAAATACAACTTTTTAAAGTGACTTTGTGCCGTTTATTACTAACAATGAGTGGGTAAGAAAAGTAGTAAGAGTTTGTAAGAAAAGTTGGGTAAAGACAGTAACAGGCTGGGGCCTCCCTGGTGGCGCAGTGTTTGAGCACTGGGTTGCGAAACTGCCTGCAGCGCCGATTCGATCCCCGGCCACCGGGCGAGGGTCCCACATAGCGTGCAGACCTCTCCTGCCACCCGCTGCTCCCCTCAGCAGTGTACTTCATCTGTCTGCCTGTTCTGCTCCTGTTCTGCTCTGGCTCTGTTGAATTCTCTCACCCTCCCGCGCTTCTGACTGTATAAATAAATAAAATAAATCTTAAAAAATAAAAAAAAGATAATAACAGGCTGGGCCTCCCCTGGTAGCGCAGCAGTTGAATGCTCGGCTGTGAGGCTGCCCGCAGCCTCTGCAGCGCTGGTTCATTCCCCAGCCACCAGCGAGGGTCCCACAAAAAAAAAAAAAGATAATCACAGGCAGCTTTCCTGCCCACCTGTGACTATACAGGTGCCTCTCTTCTCTTTCTTTTTCCTAATAAACCTGTCCTTTAAAAAAAAAAAGATAATGACAAAAATCTCAGGCAAAATCTAGATGTAATAAAAATTCCAGGTTTGTCCAGTGAGATTCAGATGACACTTAGACTTATATAGCTAGTCTCTAATAACTGCTTTTAAATCTTTGATAAAATTCTTATAAAAAAATTTTGTAGCAAGCACAAAATCCCTTTCATTGACTCAATTGTTTATAAACACAATTTTCCTTAGGAATGCAAGTTAGTGGGCAGTAGAAAGAGCTATATTGTAGTTTGCCTTCAAATACATATTGGTCAATCGTTTATGAATTTAATGCATTTATAACAATGCTAACCAGAGTTAAAATTATACTATTCAGATAATATAACCTGAGAAGTAGAAAACTGTAGGTAGTTTGACAATGTCAAAGTGTGTTTCCAGAAAAACCAAAAATTTCAAATGTTAAATTCTTTACTGGGCCATTAATGAAAGAAAGACAAAGAGGAAACCAAATTACCTGATAATACAATGGATGTTAATTTTCACATGTAATCAGTGATAATCACTTACCTACTGTTGGGGTATTGGCAGCACTTAGTGAAGCAGAAGATGAAATAGAGGAAGAACTTTCTGCCCGGGCTAAAGGAGCAGCAGGAGGTGGACTGGTACTGGAAGTTACAGGTGGACTGAATGGCCTGGGCTTAAAAACAAAAAGTTATCCATCAAAATACTAAAACAGTTTCTCTGTTAAAAGAACAGATTTTCATATATCAGGTTTAATTTTAATATGCAACCAAAATATTGTGTGTGTTTCTTACAACTCAGAATTACAAATGTCACAGTCAAATCATTGAGAAAATACTAAAAGCTGAAAAAGCTACTGGTAAGTAATGCTGTCAAAATAATCTTTATTCATGAAAATTTTTCTGTACTTTAAAAAGTATGTCTAACAAGGATTCTCAAAAGTTAATTATTACATAATTAGATGGTTTTTCATATATACTACCAAACTGCTTCCCAAAAGGTTAATAGGTTTTACCCTAGTGCCTATAAATATAATATTTCTCTATACTCTTGCCAGCAAGAGTACAGGCCAGAGGCGCGGGAGGGTGAGAAAATTCACCAGAGACAGAGCAGGGAGCAGAACAAGCAGAAGGATCGAAATACACTGCACTGAGGTCAACAGTGAGCGAGACAGGAGAGGTCTGCCGTGCCATGTGGAAATCTCCCTGGCGGGCAGGGACCGAACCGGCACTGCTGAGGCTGTGGACAGCTTCGCAGCCCTGAGCTCAACCTGCTGCGCCACCAGGGAGGCCCAAAGTAATTATTTTAAATGCTAATAATTTAATAGATATAAAAGGGAAAATACAAATGTTATTTTTAAGTTGTATTAGCTTTGTCTGAATAGCTTTATTTGCTGCAAATATTTTCTCCCTAAATATTGCTTGCCCTTTACTTTCAGTGTCCTCATTTTCTTTTATATTCCTTGTAATGCTTCCTCACTAAGAAAATTCATCCCATAAAGAGGTTTGAGAAACCTTAATTCTACTTACTGTCTTCTCGCTTTTATAAACGTAAAAACAAATATGAAAAAGAGAACTTCATTTATCTTTTACCTTGATAAGTAGTTTTTTCCCCTTCCAAATTCCCAATTGTTCTAATAATACTTGAGCAACACTGCCTGAGGTTTAACTTTTTTAATTTAGCTAAATATACCTTATTTTAAAAATCATCTTTTCCTTCTTATAGAAAGAAGCGTTAAGCACAATCAGTATTTAGTGACTGCTATGTGTCAGGCCAAGGGTTAGCTACTATATGCAAAGCACAGAACAACAACAACAACAAAAAATCACTGTTCTTTGTTCTGGACTGAGCGACATGAAAAACAAAAGGCAAAAACAAGACCCTACAATCAGTCATAAACAAAAATTAGTCAACAATTCATTGCATGAAGTTAACATATATATACACATTTACAATTAGTAATACCTCCCCCCACTTAACTAAACATTTTAGTTCTACAGACTGACTGAAGATTCACTATAGACACTAGAGACACCAGTCTGAAAAAATACAGCAAGGTGTAAAAATGCAGCTGTGCGTGTATAAAGATGGAGATGATGCAGGACATGAGGCCCAACAAATACTGAATTCAACAGATGATCTGAAATTTACAAGCTTGAAAAAAGCCTTGAGATCAAATATCATGGACATATTTCTCCTATGGCAAATGTGCTCACGACCAATACAAGATGGTTGGATTATTTTTTTTATTTTTTTTTTTTTTAGAATTTACAATTTAAACTTTGCATTTTACAGGTTTTTTAGGAAAAGGCAAAAAAAACTTATTTAAAGCAACATTGTCCAGAATAATAGCCACTAAAATTTGAAATGTGGCTAGTTCAAATTTGAGATAAGCTGTAAGTGCAAATACACCAGTAGATTTTTAAAACAGCATACAAAAAGAATGAAGACTTGACTGCATGTTAAAACGTTTCCATATGCTAAATAAAGTAATTTCAATTTTTACTTAATGTGGTTAATATAGCTATAGATGTCTGCACTATATTTCTTTGTTTCCATTGGATAGCACTGCCTAAAAACAGGGGTTCTCATTCTTGAGCATCAGAATTACCAGGAGGATTTTTTAAAACATTTGCTGGGCCCCTCTCCAAAATTTCCAATTTGTTAGGAATGGAACTAGGGAAGTTGCATTTCTACCAAGGACCCAGGTGATGTTAATGCTCCTGGTCTGGGGACCACACATAGAGAACCACTGTTCTTGAACAATGAGAGATCTCCTGTAAGTGGGGAGGGTGTGGTTGTAGACCCTTTAGTCTCTAGTGAAAGGTATGAGTCCTCTCTCCAACAAAATGTACATTAAAGTATACACAGAAATTAAGTGGACATTAAATGCTGACAATGGTATAGAGGATAAAATAATTATGCTCTGAAGTTTCTTCAAATTGTGCTCCCTGAAGCCTTCAGAGTGTGATTTCATAGACATTCTCAATGCTAGGGCAAGGAATAAAGGATGATATAAGGATTGAACTACAAAAGACATTAAGATGTTTTTAACTGAATACATAAGATATCACCTTTTATTTGAAAAGATACACATACCATTTGTTATAAGTGTTTTAAATGTTACATTACTATTGAAATCTTACAACAATCTTTATCGATACACCATTTTACCCATAAGGAAACAGACTCTAGATAAATAAGTTGACCAATGTTGTTTAGGTAATTGGTGGCTAAGTAGCTTGTGCTTTTAACAACTACATGTTTACTTCCTCTCCATAAAGTCTTACACCTTTAACAAAAGAATGTATAAGAAAATGCTAACAGCAGTTACCAGTGGGTAGTGAAAGACAGAAGGAATTTTAATTTTCTTTGTTTTTTCTCAAGTTGTACTGATAGGTATTGCTTTTGTAATCAGAAAAACCAGTGTTATTATTTAAGTAATAGAAAAATTACTACAGCTTTATAACTATCTCCTTACCAGCTTCTATCTAGTCTTTCATGTCATTCCTACTATGTCTGTTCATGGACATAGGGGGTAAAAGAAAAATACCGCCATTTCAATACCTGGTGCTGCTTTTTCATTTATTAAAGTAACACTTCCTAACTATATACACCATGTGACAGGCATTATACAAAGTATTCCGGTACTACTGCCAAGCATTAAGGATACAAAGCTATCTATGGTACAGTCCAGTAAGGAAAACACACACAAAGAAAGTATGTACACGTATATGATCCTTTAGAAAGCATATCTTATGAAAGGATGTAATGTACTAAGAGAAACATGAGTAAATTGTATGGGTTAAGAGAATGACTAAATACACTGGATTGTATAAGGAATAATGATAAAAGAGGACTTTTTAGCTGGAACTTAAAGTAAGAGGTCAGTTTTCTCATAGAAGACTGAAGGACACTGCAAAGGGGGCACAATTAGATATGGGTACTTTTCTAAAAGAGTATGATGTGCTTGCAAACAGTGGAAAGTTCTAAGTGGCTGGAATCCACGTTGCAAAGAGGAGAAAGTTGGGTAGTTAGTCTGGGAAGGCAGGTTACTAAGGCAATTCTATGAAAAGTATTGTATAGTCAGCTAAAACAGTCAACCATATGGATTATTTAGAACCACTGGAGATGTATATCAGGGGGAAAAAAAGAAGATTAAGCGTGACTGTAGAAAGTGATTCTGGCAATTAGTGTAATAAGATGAAGCAAATCAGAACACACAGAAGGCAAGAAGACTCATTGGGAGGGCCTTATTCTCAACAGAACCCGTAAATTTTTTTCATTGTCTAATAACTTCTGAAGACCAAATTTTTGTCAGTAATTAATGTATTTTCATAAGCCAATTAAATGATGTAAACTCCAGTTTCCTTATGTATAAAATAAAGCGGGTTGGACTAGATGCCTTCGAGGATGCTCCTGTTAGTATACTTCCAAATTCCAAGAACAGTATCATTTCTTCCTCAATATTTGACTTTGAAAGAAAATTATTTCTTAAATGGGAGACAATGGGTACAGGATGATGTTTTTGTAATATGCCAACTTTCTTAAGAAATTTCTCTCCTAACAATGCCTTGCTTCACATATATGCTCCCTGAGGCAATATGCTGGAGTGAAAGAAATGTTGGCCAGGTAAACGTTTCTGTATTTTGAAGAATCAAGTAGAAATTTTGAAGCATTTAACTGTAAAGAGCATATAGAAAAATATCATTTGCATTTTAAATCAAAACAGTTTAATTAAAAAAAAAACGAGTACATACTATTTCATTAATTCCACTGAGTTTGCCTGAAGCAAGCTTTGGTCTGGAAGCAGGCCTTGGAGGTGGGACAATGGTACCTACCGAAAGAGGAGTTGTGGGCCTGGCTGGTCAGGGGAAAAGAAAATTTGAAAAAAATGATTAGTATATAACATTCTTATATAAAGACATTCTATATACAGGTACTGTTAGGATTCAAACTCATTTCTCAGGAGTTTTTTTTTAAAAATATGTAACTATAGATATTTGTTGAAATACTAAAAATCTATCAAATACACTGTTTTGGAAGCTACCAACAACAATTTAACTTTTTTTTTTTTGGTGGGACCCTCGCCAGCGGCCTGGTGAATGAACCGGCGCTGCAGAAGCTACGGGCAGCCTCGCAGCCCAGTGCTCAACCGCTGCGCCACCAAGGGAGGACCACAATTAAAACTTTTCATTGAAACTGACATGTGTGATATAGATTATGTTCCTGCCTCAATTATTTACACATATAAAAATTAAATCTGACAAATTAGCTGGTGAAAATAAACAATTTAAGATCTAAGGTCCTGTAACATATCTGAAAAGTGTGATCCTCTACTTCTAAATCTTTTACAGTGCTGAAACCATAGACACTTCAGTTAAAAAAGAGATAAGGCCTTCAGTTTATTACCAACACATTTACTTTACAGACAGTAATGTAAGACCTGAAGCAACACCAATAACAAACTTTAAGGTAAATGTTTTATTTAAACTTGTAATTTGACTTTAAAGTTGAGCCACACTAACTTTTTTGTGATAAATATTAAAAAATTCTTTAGTAATATATGTTACAAATTCCCCAAATGACCAAACATTAAAATTAGTGTCAATAATATCTTAAATTTTCCTAATCCTATATAGTTAGTATTCAATACTTGTCAATACTATGCTAATTTTACAATTCTATAGATCAGAAGTACTAACCTTAGTGTTGCCAATTAAAATTAACACTCATGGTAGAAATTAATCAATAAAGTTCAAGTGTACATCATCAAAAGTCCCAAATGTATTAGTGTAACTAAAACAAGAGTGTAAAATGGGGCCTCCCCGGTGGCGCAGCAGTTGAGCGCTGGGTTGCAAAGCTGCCCGCGGCCTCTGCGGCGCCGGTTCGATCCCCGGCTGCTCCCCAGCCACCAGAGGAGGGTCCCACATGGCACGCAGACCTCTCCTGCCGCCCGCTGCTCCCCTCAGCAGTGTACTTTGGTCCTTCTGCCTGCTCTGCTCCCTGCTCTGGCTCTGGTGAATTCTCTCACCCTCCCGCGCTTCTGACTGTACCCAGTGCTTGTATAAATAAATCTTTAAAAAAAAAAAAAAAACTCATGCAGCAGTTAGTATGGTGAAATTAAACAGAATAGGCATAGCTCCTAAGAGTAACATAGCTGGAACTCAATCAATTCTTTGCTCACCATTCCAGCACTCCTTAGTCCCAAATACTAAACTGTATTTCTAAAATCCCAAAGGAAATTAAAGATCAACTTAAATTTTATTCTCTTGCTTTTAACTAGATAATAAAAACAGTGGTTTTTATTAAGTATGCATTTTTGATGCCTGCTTTGAGTGTTAGCTAATGGGATTTTGTTATTTTTTTTTTAAGATTTATTTATTCATACAAGCACTGGGTACAGTCAGAAGTGCAGGAGGGTGAGAGAATTCACCAGAGCCAGAGCAGGGAGCAGAGCAGGCAGAAGGACCGAAGTACACTGCTAAGGGGAGCAGCGGGCGGCAGGAGAGGTCTGCGCGCCATGTGGGATCCTCCTCCAGTGGCCGGGGAGCAGCTGGAGATCGATCCAGTGCTGCAGAGGCTGCGGGCAGCTTTGCAACCCAGTGCTCAACCGCTGCGCCACTGGGGAGGCCCTGGGATTTTTTATTTTAAAGAAAAGAGAAACTCAACATATTCTTGCTAAAAACTAAAGAGCAGTTCTTGCTACACTGGTAAATGTTAAAGCCTTTCTGGAAAGCAGTTTGGTGGTAAGTATCAATGGGCATATTGTGTCATAAATCTTGCAATGTTCATAACACTAGAAATATTCAGGATATAACCTGAATATCCATCAAGAAAGGACTGACTACATTAATGTACAGATATGCTGCTGAATTATTATTTTGGCACTGACATGAGTATCATATGACTGGATATAAATATTTAAATGGAAAAAAGTTGGTATTTGATTTGTATTCAGAATTTTTAAGCTAAAAGTTAATAAAACTAGTATAAAATCACTTATCAGACAATATGAACAGAGGACAAGTGAAAAAAAAAAACTGATCAGTAAGTTCAACACACGAGTGGTGAATAAGTTGATTAGAAAACAGGCACTAAAGCATTCCTGAGTTAAAAAGAAAATATATGTGTATATATTTACCTGATGATGATGAAGTTAGTGAAGTTGAAGATGATGAATCAAGAGATGGTCCAAACAGGGGGTCCCAAGCAAGTAAATCACTGGTCCCTTTCCTACCATAACATTTTAAAAATAAGAATTTTAACAAAGAAACACTTTATTATTATAAAATCTAGTCACGTATTTTTATTTCATAGAATTCTAAGAGTCCAATGTATTTGATTTATTTCACAATGATATATGTGAAGAAACTTAATTAACAGACTTAATAAGCCAATAATTGATAACTTCTATAAACAGAACCGATGGTAACATTATGTCAAACTGGTAGGGAAGAGCACAGACTAATTTCCACTGATTGCACCTTGTTATACACTGAAACGTAGGAGCTGTCAGAATAGAAATAACGATTAAGCTTTACAAATGATGAAAAGCCACAAAGAGTGTCTAAATGAGTTGCCAAAGGACATACAGCCACTTAATTCCACAACAGTGGCAGGTCGGCTGAACCACACCTAGCACTTGGTCAGAAAATTTAAGTGATATGAAATCAAGTATAAATTTTATACGATCATACTTATTTTCTCAGATGAAAAAGGGTAAGGAAAAAATATTTCTTGGGCACAGAATGGTGGCTTAAAACCCAATGACTTGATAGACTTCAAAGATCTTATTACTGCAGTAGATCATGCAGAGGCAGAATTTCCCCCTGGGCAATACACTGCCTGGGTCCCTAAGGCAGTGTAGTGAAATGTTGGGGACATACCTACCTTTTTAGGAGAGGTAAACAAAAGTATGGATAAGTGTGTGGATAAGATCAAGAGCATCAACATTCTAGTTTCAAAAAACTTGAACATGCTGCAAAAACAAAGACTGTCCTCCAGTGACCTCTCAGAATCATGGGCCAGGTGACTCTTAGGCTTCAACTCCTAGTTCTTTGATATAATAAATGTCTACATGAATGTTCTTCTTTTTCATTTTAATCATATCCTCTAAAAAAAGGCCTAAGCTGTAGGATCCTGAAACACCTGATTTTTGCCACCGCTTGTTTCTAGCTTTTGTGAGATATGATTGACAAAAATTGCCTGGGGTTAAAAAAAGAGATTAATTCCCATAAAACAATATTTAAATATATCAAACAGCCAGTATGTTTTAAAAATAGCAGGCCCACTAGGTTAATCTATATCTAGTATCTCAACATGCATCTAGAAGCATTGCACTACACTTTGTATGATAGTCTAGAATCACAATTACATAAATATTTCCTAAAAACAATGTTTTAAAACTACTCAGGTTATTTTTAAGACGGATAAACAAATACCACTACTGTGCCCACTTAGTATCTAGTTTCAAAGGTATCAAATAATTTTAAACTGTATTTAATTAAGACTACTTTTACTCATGCAAAAATATTTAACTGAAAGAATCTTTATTGATAAAAAGATAGAGAAGGACACATGAAAATGTCTCCTTTCTCATTTCAAGTAAGACACTCATTCTGAAGCTCACAAATGTACAGTTTATAAGATCACAACCAAAAGCAAAGGAAAAAAGTTAGAAAAATTTCATGAGACTGGTTGAAATACAAACATGTATAAACCATGTACTATCATTTAATTAGACGCACCAAGGCCAAATACAGCTGAATGGGTTTTTTTAAAAAAATCATAAAGAAAACACCTTAAAGCAACTGAAAAAACTTCACATGCTGTCACAGCTCAGAAAACAGGATAATTAACACTACTGGAATTGAAACTGCAGCGATAAAAACAATGTTGAAAAAAAGGATACTTAAACTTTAAATGCAGTGGGAAGACGAGGTGGAGGACAGGAATTTTATGGTAGTGAAACTATTCTGTATACCATAAAGGGGGATATATGTCATTATCCTGTTTGTGAAAATTCACAGAATATACAACACCAAGAGTGAACCTTAATATGAACTATGGCTTTAGGTGATAATAATGTGTCAGTGTAGGTTCATCAATTGTAATAAATGTGCTTTGGTTGGCGGGGGATTCTGACAGTAGGGGAGTACGTGCAGGCAAGACTACATGCAAGAATCTCTGTAATGCTTGATTTTACCATGAACCTGAAAGTGACCTAAAAACATATATTTTCATTTAAAACATGGAACTTACTCATTGGATGCAGCAGATCTTGATTTTGTTAGCTCTTCACCTAGTTAAAAAATTGAAATGTTATGGAAAAAATTTGTAATTTGAGTAATATATACAATTTTAAAATAATATATTCTAAACAATTACGAAGAAAAGGAAAAAAGTAGTAAGTTTTCTACCTTGCTTAACAATATTACAATACTAAATATTTCTTTATCCTAATATCTCTGGTAAGAAATGATATGAATTGGGGCCTCCCTGGTGGTGCAAGGGGTTAAAGCACAGCACTGTGAAGCTATCCACAGCCTCCGCAGCACCAGTTTGCTGCCAGGCCAGGGAGCTACCCACATGGCATGGCAGAGCTCTCCTGTCTCGCCCACTGCTCCCTTCAGCAGTGTCTCAGTCAGTCTGCCTGTTCTGTTCCCCACTCTGTCTCTGGTGAATCCTCTCACCCCCCACATCTCTGGCCTGTACCCCAGTTCTTGTATGCATAAATAAATCTTTTTAAAAATCCTGGGTCAACTAAAATGATATTCACTAATATAAAATTGCCGCTGTCCAGAAAAGGGAAAATATGGGCTGCAACTTTAAAAATTAGAACAATTGTTTAAACACGTATTACTCAAGAATGTTAAGTTTTCAAGTTCTAAGAATAATATTACTTATGGCCAAAAGTGGTTACTAACTCTTGAAGGACAACTTTGAAAAAATCAAAAATTTTACAACCTAGCACAATAGTCCCTTTATAAGATAATCTGTTCTGCTATCTTTTGCAACATGAGTCATTTCATAAACAACTGGCATTCTAGGGAACAGCATCACTAATACAAAAGTCACATTGGTTCATAAGAAATATTCCATGCATCTATTAATGAAAATTACTTTTGTTGCGGTGACACTGGTTTAGGTAATAGGTTCACATACTCCTTGGATATATATACGTCACACACACCACTGGTCCCCCTCCTTCTTCCCTGCCAGTAACCTCAACTATTGTAGTCATTAGGATTTGTGTTGTCTTTTCTTGCTTTATATTGTACATATAAGTGAAATCACCTACTATAACCTTTTGGCTTATTTCACTTAGTACAAGCTGTTTATGGTGCAGCTGGCGACATTCCCCAGCTGTGATGCAAACCCATTTTTTGTGCAGAGCAATTATCTTGGGCCCCCTGCCATCGCCCCCATAGGCTTATGGGGGTAAGGGTAAGAGAAACCTTAGGGAAATGTGTGCTGTGAGAGAGACAGAGACACACCTCACACACACACACACACACACACACACACACTCTCTCCACATTCATTCACTCAAACATACACACTCAAACACCTTGGAGGTAGCAGCGGGCAGAGGCAGGCCCGCTACACCCTCTGTGGGTTAGCTCCATGGCCGGGGATCGAACTCAGGCGGTGGTGGTGATAGCACTGACGCTTAACCCCCTAGGCCACCGGGGAAGCCGCAAACTGCAGAGGCAGGAATACCTATCCAGGCGCTGGAGCTAGAACCTGATGCAAATAAGGATCACCAGGCCTAAAGAGCCTTTCCAGGACCAGCTGCACCTAATCAGCTAAATATACCAAGGAAAGCATTTCACTAACCCTTACATTCTAAATAACCTGAAAGTTAGAAGTCACAAACAGGGGTGCATAACACTTTTAATTACTCAACGTATGCTTAGCTTGGAAAATGCAACTGCTAGTCCTACAAATTCCTTTTAAATGAATCTGAGATGCTGCTTTAAAGTACCATAACATTCTTTGCATGTGTACAAAAATGAGTAAGGGTGTAGAGAGCAAAGGGAAGATGCCCCCCATGAACTATGGTGAAGTAGTGATGACTGGAGGTAGATGTCGAGTGGTAACACACATTTGAGGAGGTGTGAATCTATAACCCTAAAACATATACAATGTAACCTAAGGATACCTCAAGAAAAAATTTAACATAAAACACACACACCCCTATTCATTTCACTTGCTGTGCTGAGAGCAATAATCTTTGGTCTCTAACCTAAGAATCTTCTATTTTCTGAATAATGGGTAATCTAATCCTACACTTGGCAGCACTTAAGGTATAACTGAACAGTGTTCCAAACATTGCACCTTTCTTCAAAAAGTAGGTTACTCCCTAGTTAGAAAAAATCCTTTCATTTGTCCTTAAATACCACCTAGTACAACAGAAAACAATACGTGTTCAATCTTCCTTATAAACCTGACATTTATTCTGTTACTACCAAGAACTTCTAAATTTATTCTTTCCTGAAGCAAAATTGCTTTACAGTATGAAAAACTTTTTTAAAAAGTGAAAAAAAATCTTGCAAATCTTTTTAATACCAAAAGAGTTAACTTAAAAATTAAGTATTTCTGGGGCCTCCAGGGTGGCGCAAGGGTTTAGACGCAACCTATGAAGCTGGCCGCAGTTACTGCAGCCCGAGTTCGATCCCCAGCCAGGGAGCTACCCACATGGCGCAGCAGACCTCTCCAGACTTGCCTGCTGCTCCCCTCAGCAGTGTATTTCAGTCAATCTGCCTGTTCTGTTTCCCACTCTGCCTCTGGTGAATCCTCTCACCCCCCACAACTTGGGCCTGTACCCCAGTTCTTGTATGTATAAATAAATCAATTAAATATTTCTGCAAAGAAAGTTTGTTCAATAAATGGTGCTGGGAAAACTGGGCTGCTACATGCAAAAGAATGAAGCTAGACTTCTACCTCACCCCATGCACAAAAACCAACTCAAAATGGATTGAAAAACTAGGCAATAAAACCTGAAACTATAAAATATATAGAAAAAAATATAGGAGAAACACTCCATGACATATACCTCAGTAACATCTTCAAAGACACATCACCCAAAGCAAAGACAGTGAAGACAAAGATAAACAGCTGGGATTACATCAAATTAAAGAGCTTCTGTACATAAAGGGACAATAACCAAGACAAAGAGACACTCTACTGACTGGATGAAAATTTTTGTGCACAATACTACTGATAAGGGACTGATCACAAAGATCTACAAGGAGCTGAGCTGAACTCAACAAAAACAAAGTAAACAACCTAGTCAAAAAATGGGTACAATACACTGATGTCTTATTTGGTTCCCCTATATTCCTTCTATAAGCAAAACCATCGGTATTTTTCTTTTTCCTTTTGACTTATTTCACTGAGCATAATTCCTTCTAGCTCCATCCATGTTGTTAATACCAATACAAAACACAATAAAACAAAAACAGACAATTATAAATCAGAGACATCCTGCAGGGGAGGAGGAGGGAGAGGGATCAGTAAGAGGGAGGGAGGAGCACAGGGGACTGAGGTGATGGTGCATGGATACATTGGTGAAGGAAATTCTATGAGGACTACACCTGAAGAGGGGGGAAGCAAATACGTTTAAAAATGAACAATGATGTAATAAATAAAAAATAAATAGGGCACAAGAGCAAAAAGACACTTCTCCGAAAAGGAAATGCAAATGGCCAACAGGCATATGAAAAAATGTAAAACATCACTTGTAATCAGGGAAATGCAAATCAAAACCATAATGACATACCATTTTACACCACAGAGAATGGCACATACTAAAAAAACAGCAACAACAAATGTTGGTGAGGATGTGGAGAAAAAGGAACTGTCCTGCACTGCTGGTGGGAATGCAAACTGGTCCAACCACTATGGAAAGCTGTCTGGAGGTTCCTCAAACTGCTAAGAATGGAGCTTCCATATGATCCAGCAATATCCTTTGGGAATCAACCCAAAGGATACAAAAGCATTAATTCAAAAGGATACCTGCCCTATGTTTATTGCGGCACTATTTAAAGCAGATAAGCTATGGAAACAACCCAAATGCCCCAAAACAGATCTGAATCAAGAAGATGTGGTACATATACACAACGGAATATCACTCAGCAATCAAAAAAGATACACTCTTGCCATTCACAGAAACATGGATGGAGCTGGAAGGGATCATGCTAAGTGAAATAAGCCAGAAGGAATAGGAAAGGTACTGGATGATTTCAGTTATAGGAGGAATGTAGAGGATCCAAATAAGGGATCAGGAAAAAAAAAAGTAATTATAATAAAGTAAAAATCAAAATCAACAGGCAACTATAAACCAGAGACATTCTGCAGGGGGGGGAGATGGAGTAGGATCAATATAGAGGAGGGACAAGCACAAAGGACTATGGTGATGCTACACGGGTGAATGAGTGATGTGAATTTCCCAAGATGAGAAAGCATACATTGTATAAAAATGAAGAATGATATAAAAAACACATAAAGCAAAAAAAAATTAAAAATAAGTAAAAATTAAAAAAAAAAAATCTCCATGCATCCAAATGCTTTTACATCACCAAGCAATAACTGATGAATGTATATTAAATCAATATGGCCAACTGCAGCAAACCATAGACAAACATCACACTATACACAATGCCCACTCACATCACATTCTCCCATTTAGCTCAGGTTCGACTTCTGTTTTGCCTCAAAGTGTTTATTGTGCTGTTCTCCATCACTCTATATTCTGCCCTCATATCCATAATCCAGTAGCATCTTTTAACCTCATGACCTTCATGTCCCTAGTTATCAAGCTACTCACGATTTCTTTTTTGTTATCCCTCCCACCCTCAGTTGCCTCATGATTTCTTTATTTTTTTTTAAAGATTTATTTATTTATTTGTTTGTTTGTCTGTTTATACATACAAGCACTGGGTACAGTCAGAAGCGCGGGAGGGTGAGAGAATTCACCAGAGTGGGGAGCAGAGCAGGCAGAAGGACCGAAGTACACTGCTGAGGGGAGCAGCGGGCGGCAGGAGAGGTCTGCGCGCCATGTGGGACCCTCACCGGGTGGCTGGGGAGCAGTCGGGGATCGAACCGGCGCCGCAGAGGCTGCGGGCAGCTTCGCAACCCAGTGCTCAACTGCTGCACCACCGGGGAGGCCCTCATGATTTCTTTAAATGCAAAATTCTACTTTTAGTTTGGTGTTCATTATGAATTTAGTAGGTCTTTTTAATTGCATTAAAATTTTTATTAGCCCTGATGTTACAGTTTTTTGTGTGTTTGCAAAACTGCATGTATTTTTTAAAGATTTATTTTTATTTATTTATGCCTACAGCAGCTGGGGTGTCAGCCAGAGTTGGGGGATGGGGGGATAAGAGGATTCACCAGAGACAGTGGGGAAACAGAACAGACAGACTGACTGAAATACACTGCTCAGAGAAGCAGCAAGCGAGACAGAAGTCTTCTGTGCCATATGGGTTAGTTTCTGGCCAGTGATCAAACTCTTGCTGCAATGGCTGCCAACAGCTTCAAGTGTTGAGACTTAACCCCTTGCACCACCAGGGAGGCCCCTAAAATTGCGTAGTTTTGGAGTGAGTTGTCTCAACTCCATTTTCTCCACAATTCTTATTTTTTTTAATGCAGATTCTGCAAAAGTTAACCCCCCCCAAAAAAAAAGTTTTTACTATAATTACGTTAATATATTAACAACCCTTTTACAGAAATTGCAATTTCGGTATGACTTAGAAAGAGGTAAAGCTAAAGCTTATTCATCTTATAAATGCCTTCCAGCTCATGAGAGAAAATATATCAGCTAAACAGTGTAACAGTCTTAATTAGAAGCTACTACTTTGGCTTTCCTGATTTCCGAAAAGAGCTAAAATAGCAATTTATTAAAGTTTAAGGTATGTCTCAATGAAATAATGTAGACAAGTTGCTTTCTGTTTAAAATACAGATATTTCCAGTCTACTCTTAAGGCTTATAAGGGCATTTGTTCTGCTAACTGCATACACAAGGCTACAGCTTAGCAAATTGATGAATTTTAACAGACATAAAATATTTTAAATGTCAAACTTACTAGATGAATTCCGATTCATCTGCACCTGAAACAGAAAAGCAAAAACCAAATGATGTTAAATAAATTATTTGGTAATGAATTATTTGGTAAAATACTAATACTAGAACCTAAAGTTGTTTTTAATATATCTATACAATTGCAAACTGCATTAGGGTTAAAAAATATACAGACTTCAAGCAATTTTTATTTTGCAGTAAAATGATACATGTACATTTAACAGTCAATGAAATGTTTCAAAATATTAACACCTAGAATTTTAATTTAAAAACTTCAACAAAATTATTTTGAAAATCAGTGTTCAAACATCACAATGATTTTTTTTTTAAATCAATAGGAAGTAAAAATATAAAAATCTCACACTTACTGGGCTGTGTCTCTGGCAGAACATGAAAAGAAAAAAGACAGTGCTCATTTTAGAGTTTAAAAAGTTACTTTCCTGTTCTCATAATTTGTCTACTCTTTTTTCATACCTAAAATCTATACACCTTAAAATACATTATTGGGGGACAAAGATTGAAGCTAGATAAACAAATTGGCAACAAAATATACTCATAATATCCATTTTTCAAGCCCAAAATTAACCACTAAAATTTTTCCAATTATTAATGACTTTCTGAGTATGAAATTAATACACGTTAACTCTTGTTTTTTTAAACAGAAAAGAGAAGCACATAGAGGACATTTAAAACCATCAATGATCTCAGTACCCACTGACAAATCTTTAACATTTTGATATATATTTTCTTCCGGGCTTATATATATATACACATATATATATGTGTGTGTGTGTATATATATGTATATATATTATATATATATACAAATATAAATAAATATATATATAGGTTATATGCTTATACAAAAAAATTTAATGGTTTCACAACTTCCTACTTCAAATATATCTATTTATATATATGTATACCTATACATACACACACACATACAAACACACACATTCCCCCATGATTTAATCTTGGTATAAGCCTTAATGATAAATTGTAATGGTATAATAAAAACCTCACTTCAGAAATCTTTTTAAAAAAATAGTTCTAAAATTAAATTCTAAGACTTCATGGCTAGAAAACAACTACTTCCAAGCTAATACATAAAAACTATTTAAATAGACTATTAAAATAAATATTTGTCTTTTAATTGAAACAGTAATAACTCCTATTTTCCATTATCAAGAAGAATAGGTTTAACATCAATTAGGATGAGCATGTTTAACTGTCATACTCTAAATTCAGATGTGTTAAGCTGAGAGTATGACATAAATGGCAGATCTTTTAGGGTGATTTTTTTTCTCCAAATGTTACTAAATATATCTTAGAATTGAGGAATTAATGACTACCACTTAGAATTCTTATATTTGCCTTTTGTTGTAAGAAAAGTATAGAAAAATAAACTGTGACAGGTCAAAAAATGCAAAGATATAATTTAATCTTTCAATTCATTTTTATAGAATTCCCTTTTTTGTAAAGGTCACACAAATGGATAATCCTTAAAATTAAATGATGTAGAGATTAACACTACTCGTTCACAAAATTCTGCCCAAGGCATACAGTACTGTTTATAAAATATAAAATACAACGAATGGTACAAATAGTGGATTTTTTAGATTTTCACCCTATGTAAAAAAAACACTTTCGAAAGGAAACAAAACTAAGCTCAAAAGTTCAGGTCTACACCTGAAAGGAAGAAGCACACAAGCATGCACTGTACAAAAATTAACAATGATGTAAAATATATATGTAAATAAAAAGTTCATGTCTGTATAAATTATAATTGATAAAAATTATAAACTATATACTTCAATAAAGCAAAACATTATAAATTTCATAGTTCCTCATCTAACATGCTAAACTACTGCTAAGTGATTTTTTTTTTATTATTCCTAAAATTAACCACAATTCAGGTAGCTGAGGTTAAAATAAATAGATGTGTGTATGTAAACTTCTATAAGAGAGCACAAAATTGCTCATTTTCTTACCGATATTGCTGGGGAGAGTGATATATTTCCTATAGATACTTTTAATTCATCCAAGGAAGCCATTGTGTGATGTGAGTTATTTGGATGCATAGGTTTGATTTCTATACGAAACTTCTTTGGTTCTTCATCTTCTGAATCAGAATCACTAGATGAGTAGAAATGGTTCTCTTTGGTATGTGAATATCAGTTAAAGAATTCAATTTTCAAATTATCTTAGTGTATGTAACCTTTCTTACACATTTATAAAAAGAAACAAAACAAAAAACTTTCAAGAGGTAAGATGGACTTAAACAGAAATGGAACTACTCACTTTTTTAAATAAAAACATGTCAAATGAAGAACATGAAGTTATTTTATTATAACTAATTAAAAAATTTTAAATCTACTAAATAAGATTATTCTGTTAAAACATGTACTTATATTTCAATACAATCAACAAGAATGAAGATGAAAGGATATTATTCTGATTTGCTTCTGGTATTATACTATAGCCTTCTTCATCTACATCAGGAATGTTCTATGGGAAAAAGAAAAAACTACTATAACAATTGCTTCAACAAAAATATTAAAAAGTCAGCAAAACAGCATTACCTACATTAACTATCAAATATCAATAGATTAACAAAATAACACTGGAAAAATTACATCTTTTTAGTTAATTAGCTTTGAATCACACTCATACTTCAGGTATCTGAAAAAGAAAAGGTACTGCAAAACAAAACAGAACAAACACTGAAAAGAAGAAAATAGGTGTTCAGGTAGGAATACCAGCAGTTCTGTGAATAATCAAATTTTCACCTAAACTTCAAAGTGAATGTGTGCCTGGGGAAGGGAAGTAGTGAAATTAAAGTCCTGTCAGCTTAAATAAATGGAAATATATCTCACTAATATAGAACAAACAAAAAACTCTAACAAGAAAATTAAAATTATATACTAAAATAACAACTCTTATCCACGGGACTAGCAAAAATTCAAAAGTTTTTTCCTGGTCCCTTATTTAGGTTTTCTAAATTCCTGCTATGAGTGAGACCATCTGGTATTTTTCTTTTTCTTTCTGGCTTATTTCGCTGAGCATGATCCCTTCCCAATCCGTAAAAATCAAAATCAACAAGCAACTATAAACCAGAGACATACTACTGGAGGGAGGAAGGAGTAGGATCAAAACAAGGGTGAGTGGGAATTATATGGGGACTAAACCAAGATGAAAATGCATACATTGTGCAAAAATGAAAAACAATGTAAAAAATAAATTTTTAAAATGCTCAAAAAACATAAAAAAACATTCAAAAGTTTGAAAATGCACTCTGTTGGAGATGCTGTACGGAAATGTACTTTTAGGGCCTCCCTGGTGGCCTAGGGGTGAATGCTCACTACTACCATCAGGGACTTGACCCATTTGATGCAGTAGACCTCTCCTGTCTCACCTCCTGGTCCCCTCAGCAATGTATTTCAGTAGATCCGCCTGTCCTGCTCCCCATTGTCTCTGGTGAATCCTTTCAGCTCCCGCACTTCTGGCTTACACTCCAGTTCTTGTATGCATAAAAATAAATCTTTTTTTAAAAAACCTACATATATGTTTGCTCTTCAACTCAGGAATTTCACTCCTATGAATTTATCCCAAAGATATATGAACAAGTTAAAAATATATATGCAACAAGGTTACTCATGAAAGATTATCTATAATTTAAAATTACTGGAAAGTACCTAAATGACTAAACATAGCTGGCTAAATTATGATACGTATACAAATGAAATATTAAGCAACTTTTAAGTAAGATGAGAAAGGTTTCTACAAACTGATTATCAAGTGACTTCCAGCAAGAAATGCTAACAGGAGAAAAGTCAAGTACAAATAACATAGATAGTATAATCATCTTTCAAGTCAGAAAGAGTGGAAAATAAGAAAACATACAGGTATCCTTTAGGAAAAAAAAAAAAAATAAGAAGGATAAATGAGAACACAATAAAGCTGGTTACCTACAAGGCAGGGCAATAGACTTGAAGGGATACAGGAAGGAGAGACACTGCTCTAACCTACTTTTAGACATTAAATACTTAAGTATTTAGGGATAAAGGACCATCAAATAGATCAGAAAAAAATATTATACAAAAACATAAACACATGCAAATATATACAGGGTAAATACAAATGTTAACCACAAATGCAGTAAAAAGTTAAGGGTATACAAATGTTCTTTGTGTTATTTTATTCTAGGATTTTTGTGTAAATCATGTCATTTCCAAATACTTTTTTTTAAATGAAGAAAAAACAGGGCCAAGAAGGGCTAAATATATCAGTTGAAATTGCGCAATCAATAGTTCTTCTGGTAAAGTCTGTTATTTCTCCAATCACCTGCTAAACCTCAGCAAGGGGAGTAGGAAGGATTGCTAATCTGACAGGCACAAGTTTAAGGAGAACTGAGAGCAGATTTTTTTCTGTTTTGGAAAAAAATTTTAAAGCAATTATTCCCACTTTTTAATACTGGAACTATTCATGAAAATTTGACCTTCATAAACACTTACACATTTCTTGTTTAAACCTTTGTCCATTCAATTCATGATTTCTGTATTAGGGCCCCACACTCCTGGAGCAAAGCATTAAGTCAGAAGCAGTAGGAACAAAAGAGAGGAAATTTCACTCATCTCAAAGGAGTTTTGATAGCGGTGGCAGTGATTTAAAAAAGTTCTTTTCAGGGCCTCCCCGGTGGCGCAGCGGTTGAGCGCTGGGTTGCGAAGCTGCCCGCGGCCTCTGCGGCGCCGGTTCGATCCCCGGCTGCTCCCCGGCCACCGGCGGAGGGTCACACATGGCATGCAGACCTCCCCTGCCGCCCGCTGCTCCCCTCAGCAGTGTACTTCGGTCCTTCTGCCTGCTCTGCTCCCTGCTCTGGCTCTGGTGAATTCTCTCACCCTCCCGCGCTTCTGACTGTACCAGTGCTTGTATAAACAAACAAACAAACAAATAAATAAATAAAAAACATGCCTCTATTAAAAAAAAAAAAAAAAGTTCTTTTCAAATATACTGGAATAGGCTCAGTAGTTAATGGAAAGTTTATTGATCTCTGTTCAGAACAGAGAAATTGACCAAAACCAAAAGAAAAGAGCAAGTCATACTTCCTTGGTCAAGTCTCAAAAAAAGCACCCTCAAAGTTAATATTTTTTAATTACACAGACGTTTTAAAAAAGGAACAGAACATGAACATAATGTCCCTTCCAAAGTAGTCTATGGATATTTTTAAAAGCAATTAGTAGGGCCTCCCTGGTGGTGCAAGGGGTTAAGATGCGACCTATGGGGCCTCCCATGGTGGCGCAGGCAGTTGAGGGCCACACTGTGAAGCTGTTCGCAGCCTCTGCAGCACAGGTTCGATCCCGGCCAGCTGGCAAGGGTCCCACATGGCACGGCAGACCTCTCCTGTCATGCCCACCGCTCCCCTCAACAGTGCATTTTAGTCAGTCTGCCTGTTCTGTTCCCCTCTCTGTATCTGGTGAATCCTCTCACCACCACCACCCCACCTCTGCCCTATACCCCAGTTCTTGTATGCATACATAAAATAAATTTTTAAAAAAAGCTATTAGTAAAACTAGCTATAAATAAAAGGTGTTAAGTTATAGATGAAAGGAACAAAAATGAGGGGAAAAAAAGAAACAAAATTAAAACCTCCTTTCCTGCTGCCCACTGTAATCCTTTTCCCCAAATGTAACCACAATTAATAACTCATAATCTCACTTTTTTTTTTTTTTTTTGGTGGGTCCTTCGCCGGCGGCCGGGAAATGAACCAACACTGCAGAGGCTGCAGGCAGCCTCGCAGCCCAGTGCTCAACTGCTGTGCCACCAGGGGAGGCCCACTTGTAATCTCACTTTTAAAAGAGAACACATATACCAAACATTTATATTTTTCAAACAGCTACAACTTAATCATACATGCTTTTATTTTCAATAAACTTTATCAGTAGACAGCTATGAAAACAATCTAACTCTGTAACATCGATGAAAACAATTACTTCATCAAGTGACTATTTAATAAGTTAACCAATCCTTATTCTGATGGATGCCAGTGTTATCAGTCTTCTTCTATTAACAATGCTGAAATAAACATCTAAACCTACCGCCCCTCACCACCTCCTATGCATTAAAATTCTGTGTTCTGTTTAGAAGCCCTTTTCTAATTCCAGATAAATACTGACTAAAGTTCAAAACTGGTAATTAATGATCACTGTACAACAGTACAAATAAACAGAATTAAGAATGTTTTATTTAAGGGAGTGTATATGAAAAGTGAAATATTCAGTATTAAAGAATCTTATTCAATGTTTCAATCATCAAATAAATGCTATAAATATTTCAGAAATAAAATCCATGATGAGCACTAAAGAAATCACATCTGGCTGACTTTTTCATTAAAAGTCAAATGGTTCTCCTACATTGCTGGTGGGAGTGCAAATTGGTTCAACCACTATGGAAAGCTGTCTGGAGGTTCCTCAGTGTACTAAAAATGGAGCTACCATACGACCTGGCAATTTCACTACTAGGGATCTACCCAAAGGACACAAAAACATTGATTCAAAAGAACACCTGTACCCCAATTTTTATTGCAGCACTATTTACAATAGATTAAACCTGGAAACAACCCAAATGTCCAAAAATAGATGACTGGATCAAGAAGATGTGGCACATATACACAATGGAATATTACTCAGCAATCAAAAAGGATAAACTCATGCCATTCGCAGCAATGTGGATGGAACTAGAAGGAATTATGCTCAGTGAAATAAGCCAGAAGGAAAAAGAAAAATATCGGATGGTTTCACTTATAGCAGGAATATAGGGGAACCCAATGAGACATCAGTGTAAAAAAATAATAACAGTACAAAACACAACAAAGCAAAAACAGACAGGGCTTCCCCTGGTGGCGCAGCGTTTGAGCGCTGGGTTGCAAGGCTGCCCACAGCCTCTGCAGCGCCAGTTTGATCCCCGGCCACGGGCAAGGGTCCCACAAAAAAAAAAAAAAAAAAAAAAAAAGGCAAAAATGGACAATTATAAATCATAAATCAGAGGTATACTGCAGGGGAGGGAGAGGAGGAGGGAGAGGAATGAGAGGGAGGAGCACAGGGGACGGAGTTGATGGTGCACTGGTGAAGGAAACTCTATGGGGACTATACCTGACAGGATTGGGGCGGGGAGCAAATATTGTTTAAAAATGAACAATGATGGGGCCTCCCCGGTGGCGCAGCGGTTGAGCGCTGGGTTGTGAAGCTGCCCGCGGCCTCTGCGGCGCCGGTTCAATCCCCGGCTGCTCCCCGGCCACCGGAGGAGGGTCCCGCATGGCGCGCAGACCTCTCCTGACGCCCGCTGCTCCCCTCAGCAGTGTACTTCGTTCCTTCTGCCTGCTCTGCTCCCCGCTCTGGTGAATTCTCTCACCCTCCCGCGCTTCTGACTGTACCCAGTGCTTGTATAAACAAAACAAACAAACAAATAAATAAAACATGCCTCTATTTAAAAAAAAATTTAAAAAAAAAGAACAATGATGTAAAAAAAAATTAATTAATATTAAAAAAAAAAACCTTGTACTTAAAAAAAAAAGCCAAATTGTATGGTAAATGTTGCAATTGCAAAAACATTCCAATGATTTTAACTCTCAAGTTCATTAGAAATCTATTTCTTTATTTTCATTGTTATTACTTACTAAAAAAAATCATTAATTCCTATTTTCAAGCTAAAATGTGAAATAAAAACTAGTTTTATATTATTTATATAACAGAATACCACATTTTGCAAAATGTCTACTTTTTTATTTTGGTATATCATTATGCTGCAAAACATTAAAATGTTTTTGGAACAAAAGAAACAACACTTATGCAAGCAAGAAAATAAAGGAAACAATTTTGACTGCTATATCGAAATGAACAGCCGCGTGTGATGAACAAATTGAAAAATATGTCTATCTAAATATTACTTAAACACTTGCTAAACCTACTCTTCCACTATAACCACAGGGAGCACCATTTAATGTCTTCTTTAATTATATATAAAGAAATATATTTAGGGTAAATAAGCTTCCTTTAAATAAGAAAGGGTATCCCTGGTAGCGCTTTATCTTTAACCCCTGCGCCATCAAGCTATCACCAGCCAACTGCACCACCAGTTCGATCCTGGCCAGGGAGCTAGCCCACATGGTGCAGAAGACCTCTTCTGTCTCCCCATCGCTCCCCTCAACAGTGTATTTCAGTAGATCTGCCTGTTCTACAACCCAATCTGTCTCTGGTGAATCCTCTCATCCCCCACACCCCTGGCCTACACTCCAGGTCTTGTATGCATAAATAAATGAATCTTTAAAAAAAATTTAAAATAAAAAGCATAGGAAAGTACTGAACACGGTTATTGCTCTTTTTCTAAACAAAAAATACTTGAACAAAGTAGATTTTAATACAGCTAAGAATAAATTAGTAAGAGCACCACATTTTAAAAGAAAGTATGCAGATTTGAGATTTGGCACATGTTCCAAGAAATTAAAGCAGTATGCTAAGGCACTACTCCTACTTTAAATCAAAAGTTCGTTTTTCAAAGGTAGTTAACATTTCCTTTAGGGCCTCCCCGGTGGCGCAGTGATTGAGCGCTGGGTTGCGAAGCTGCCTGCAGCCTCTGCAGTGGCGGTTCGATCCCCAGCTGCTCCCCGGCCAGCGGAGGAGGGTCCCACATGGTGCGCAGACCTCTCCTGCCGCCCACTGCTCCCCTCAGCAGTGTACTTCAGTCCTTCTGCCTGCTCTGCTCCCCGCTCTTGGTCTGGTGAATTCTCTCACCCTCCCGCGCTTCTGACTGTACCCAGTGCATGTATAAACAAAACAAACAAACAAATAAATAAATGAAAAAAAAAAAACAAAACACATTTCCTTTAATAGAAATCCATCTGGCAAAGTAAAGCCACAAATGCATCTGTAAAATAATTTAAGTGAATTCACAATACAATATTTTTCTTAGAAAGATATGTAAACAACTCAACAAATATGCTGAATATATCCTGAAAATATCTAGTTTAAGTTGTTCATATCAAAGTAAAATCTACTTACAAGTGAATCTGCATCAGGGCACTCCCTGTTAAACAAAATATTAGAATTATTAGAACTATGTAATAATTACATTATATTGAAAGTATTTTTTGGTATTTAAATATAAATTCTACAAAAATATTTAGAGAAATCAAGTCAGGAAGATTAAAATATACTAAGTGACTTTATAATTCAAATGAAGGCATTCCTTTGTGACAAAATACAAATAGCTTACAAGTATTTTAGGAACTACTTTCAAAAGTAATTCTTTTCCATGAATATGCTCATGAATCATATCTAGGAAGCTGTCAGTATTCAATGATTTCTAGTGGCTTTTAATTCTTCAGGCAGAGAAGACAAAAAAAAAATCCTCAAAGAAATTTCCTTAAAAAAAAGTACATTTATATTTGTTATAAAATGATCATAAATAACTTTTTAAACCTCAGTTTCACCTGAAGTACTTTCCACAAGTAATTTCCACTAGCATGTATTAGTCAAAACTGCTTTTCTTCAAGTATGCTAAATGAGCAAACTTTCCGTTGGCTACAACGCTAAAATTGAACTGGTATTTTAGCATTGAATTGAAAAATATGAGTGTAGATATGAACTAGTGAGAACTATTTTTTAATGTAAAACTGCTACACAAAGAAGAGCAAACTTCTCAGTCAGATAAAGGCCTAAATACATAAAATTAAAGAGGATGAGACTATGAGGAATAAATTTAGAAGAAATTTATGTGCATTCTAAAACAAATTCACTAATGAAAATATAGTGCATATTTAAAAGGCATTTGGATTAGTTATATATTCTTTGGCTTGAGACCATTAATGCATATATCAGAATTGCCACTTTAATAATATAATGTAACATTAGCATTAGGTACATACACCTTAATGTAACATTAACATTAGGTACATACACCTTAACTGAAAAAAGCACTAAATTAATATATAAAATAAACAGGTAATCTCTACCTAAAGACTAAGCATAAACCATAAAAATCCATAAACAGAAGAATTTTGTTGAAGGAAATAGTATGGAACAGATTGAAAATATGCAAAAAGAGGTAGGTAACCACAATACTTACTCCACTGAATGCCAAATAAACAAGATAAATGCAAACCCCAGGGTTCTTTTTCCCCACTTAGAAGTCACTTAAGATCTCAAAGTTTGAAAAATGACTTCCTTATTACTGGTAAATAAGGAATATTATCTCGAAAAACCTATGCATGTTCTGAGTACATGTTCCAAAAACATGTTCCAAAAGTACTTTTAACAATAAATTCAATCCTGCTACAGAATCAAAGCAATTAAGATGTTATAACAGATCAGCTTCTTTAAAAAAAAAAAAAAAAAAAAAAGATGTATTATTTAAAAAATGTTTTACTCTTTACACTAACAGATAAACTCGCAAAACAACTGTTTAGACTTCAGTATGTATTCTCAATGTTATAAAAACAGATTAGGTTCCATCCCATAGCAAAATACTCCATTAATGCTCATAAAAAAAAAAAAAAACACTTCTTGAAAGAGATGGTAATATAACTATAAATCACTTTGCAACTGGTATTATTTTGTAAGTCAAATACCATTTCAGAGGGGAGGAGAAAAACTTATTTATTCAATAGAATGGGAGAAATTCAATGATAAAAATAAAACTAGGTTAGAATCAAGAAAATCCAAAGCACACAACTGGTCTCATATTAAAAACGAGAGCCCCTAAAAGCAGTAAATGGTGTAAGGGTTCTGCTGATTATGCTAGAGAAGTAGGATTTTAAATGGATTTTCAGTCAAAAATCAAGTCATTAAGTCAAAATCAATCAAGATTTTTGATTAGTGTTGTTTCACGCTAAACAGATTTAGTAACTACAGAAAGAAAGGTTTCTTTAATTCCTATTTATCTCTGGTTAATCACTGTTCAATTATTATCAACCCAGGCTGTAGATTAGCACTATTTAAACAAAACAAAACCAAAACTATGCTGGGGCCTCCTGGCCTCAAGAATCTGGTATAATTGCTCAAGATGGGGTCTGCCACAGATATATTTATTTTAATTTATCAACTAGTTCTAATATGTTGTCAAGGAAGAAAACGTCACCAAGCTAATATTAGTGAAATATAAGGTAATTATATTTTTTATATTAATTTCTTAGTTTTAAAAAAAAGGTAAAATGAATTTATCTGCATCATCTATCTAAAATTGACACCTAGTGTAAATAAATGTTAGGCTGTTTTCCTACCCCACGTAGCATTTTCCATTTACTTGTGTGTGTGTAAAGAGAGAATGCATGCATGTACATTAGTACTACATAGCAATATTCTCAGAGTTGTCTTAAAGAATTTTCATCAAATTGTTGACCATGGGTTTTCTCTCATGCAATGTAATACTTACACTAATTTTTAGTTTTCTCTGTGCTTTTGTTTAATTTTATTATGTGCATGTATCAATTTATAAAATCAGTATCTTAAAGTTTCAATTTCAAAACACTGAAGTTTTAATTTTAATATTTTAAATAAAAAAATTAATACCTTTAAAACCAGAGGATACTTCAATGTATTTAGAAAATTTTGTATTTTTCACACCTTAGACATAAACTTTGAGTTATTTTCCAAAGATTATTTTTAATTCAAAACAAGTTTGTCTTAATTAACAACAGAAAGGAATCTGACAATATTTAATATACTTACACAGACTCTGCATCCTTTTCCTTTTTAATTATTCCTGGCAAACCAAAAGTCTTTCTTTTTCTTGGTTTTATACCTTGAAATAAATGTATGTTGTTACAGAAACATAACTATTGCCAGTAAATATCAAACATATAATCTGCTCATAATTTGTCAATACTAAACTTGTCTAAAAATAAAAACAACTGCTAAACCCTAACATTTAAAGCAACATCATAATATGCTTAGATTTTTCTTATGTTAATATAGCCTACTATTCACCAAAAGGGGACATTCACTTGAACAATGCAATTCTTTTTTCTCCTACTAAACACCTTAGACAAAACAAGCACTTGCAGATATCTTAAAGCTTCAAAGAGGATACATCATTCACTGTATTAATAAATTTTAATTAATTTAAATTAATTTAAATTTTGTTGTAAATAAAGGTCAAATCGTGTTTTTTGTCTAGAGGATCACAAACTATGTGGTTTTAAATAAAAAAATGAAAGCAGATTCATAAACAGTGTAGCATGGAAAGCCTGTAGTCAAGCATCACATAATGTCGGGTGTACTTTCTGAGAAATGCATCACTAGGCAATTTTGTGTAAATATCATGAATGTAATGACAAGCCTAGATGGTATAGCCTCCTATACACCAAGGCTATATAGTAGAGTCTGTCATTCATGCCATCTGCAGTTGACGAAAATGTCATTAAGCAATGCATGTAAACAATGTTAGAAATGAATCCATAAGTAAGAAGCAAATATCATCTGTTTTGACTAATATAGCAGGTTTACCTCTTCATACATGACAAATTATTTCTCAAGTTAGTCATGCTATTAATTACTGATGGCATTCATCACTTAAAGCTTGACAGCTTACTCTGAGAACTAGTGCACATGTAAGCTAAGATCTCATCTTACAGATGAGGAAACTCAATATTTCGTTGCTGTTATTAACTCCATATTACACAGCAAGTAAACACTACAACCAGGATTAGAATCCAGACGTCTTAGAATAATACACTTGCTTTCATGCAAAGTAACTCCCTGAACCATATTATCTGACTAGCATATTTTTTCAATCAAACACATTTTTATTCTCATTGAGTATTATTCATTATCCATATTACACAATAAGGAATGCTGATGTACAGAGAAGTTAATTATTGCTATCAAACAGTAACTATAAGAAGCCTACGTCCAAGAGCTGCAGACATATCCAAAAAATGATCTATGTACAATAGCAAATCACTTCTCCAAATTCTTGCACAGGTCTTAGAAAAATATAGAACTGCTTTCAAATTACTACTAGTAGCTCACAAAGTGAGGTATATAAAATATGACAAAAATAGCAAGTATAGTTTGGGTTCCATACTATAAAAAACATCGATCTAGATGGGAAGGGTTGTGTCCTCTTACTACAGGTCAAACCAATTTGGAATGATGTAGTAACATTAACATTGAGGTATTACCTCATCAATTACTAAAAAGTATGCAGAATAAGCATACATTAATGTATGCTTATAATGTATGTATGTAATTGGACTTTTCATATTTTCGACACTAGAATGCCAATGGAGATGTCAGTGGAGAAAATAATCTCAAGGTATATTTGAAAACAAATACATATTATATTTAATATTTTAGAATATATATTTTAACATGCTAATAGTCCTTTCAGTAAACCTACTGTATATTTATCAAATTACAATAAATAGGTGCAGGCAAAAAAAAAAAAAATAGGTGCAGGCTTTAAATAAACGACCTTCAGATCTTTTACCTTCCTCCACAATAATGTTGCAACTCATCTATAGCTGAGTTCTTTATTTGTTCAGTAAACAGAAGATATTAGCTAATTGTCACATATTACAACTAGTCAAGTTACCTTCAACTGCACTAGCAGGATCACATTCTTCAAATTCAATAAGACCTAAAAAAAAAAAATACATAAATATGAACAAGGGATAGTTAAAAAAAACAAGTAATATGATCTGAAGAGTTATGAACCTAAACCTATACAGTGTTTAAAATCAATGTTATCTTATACATCTCAGAAACATCTTTAAAGACTCATCCCCCACAGCAAAGAAAATGAAAGAAAAGCTAAACAGCTGGGACTCCATCAAACTGAAAAACTTCTGTACAGCAAGAGAGACAATAACCAGCACGTGGGTGGGGGGGTGTGGGGAGAAGCAAATATTGTTTAAAAATGAACAACGATGTAAAAAAAAAAAAATTTAAAAAAAAAAAAGAGGGCCTCCCTGGTGGTGCAAGGGGTTAAGCCCTGCACTATGAAGCAATCCGCAGAGTTCCATCCCAGGCCGGACAGGGAGCACCTCACAAAGCGAGGCAGACCTCTCCTGTCTCGCCCACTCCTCCCCTCAGCAGTGTATTTCGTCAGTTTGCCTGTTCTGTTCCCCACTCTGTCTCTGGTGAATCCTCTCAACTCTCACCCTTCCCCCCCAAACCCCCCTATCTCTGGCCTGTACCCAAGCTCTTGTATGCACAAACAAATAAATCTAAAAGAAGAACAAAAGAAAAAGAGAGAGACAATAACCAAGATGAAGAGACACCCTAGAGATTGGGAAAAATATTTGCATTCCACACAACTGATGAGGGACTAATATCAAAGATCTACAAAGAGCTTACACAACTCAGCAACAACAAAATGAAGAATCCAGTCAAAAAATGGGCAGAACTTGGGGCCTCCTTCATGGCGCAGGGGTTAAAGACAGTGCTATCAAGCTATCCCCAGCCACTGCAGCATGAATTCCATTCCTGTCCAGCCAGGGAGCAACCCACCTGGTGCAGCAGACCTCTCCTGCCTGGCCTGCTGCTTCCCTCTACAGTGTATTTCAGCAGATGTGCCTGTTCTGCTCCCCACTCTCTCTGGTGAATCCCCTCACTACCACCCCCCACCACCATCACCGCTGCACCTCTGTCTACACCCCAGTTCTTGTATGCATAAATAAATCTTTTTTAAAAAATTGGCAGAAAAGCTAAAAAGACACTTCTCAAAAAAGGAAATGCAGATGGCCACAGGTACATGAAAAAATGCTCAATATCACTTATAATCAGGGAAATAAAAATCAAAACCACAATGAGTATCACCTCACACTAGTAAGAATGGCCCTCATTAAAAAAAATAACAACAACAACAACAACAAATGCTGGCGAGGATGTGGAGAAAAAGGAACCCTTTTACACTGCTGGTGGGAATACTGCTTCAACCATTATGAAGGTGTGTGGAAGACCCTCAAACTACTAAAAATGGATCTACCATATGACCCAGCAATTTTATTCCTAGGAATCTACCCAAAGGACACAAAAACATTAATTCAAAAGAAACCTGCACTTCTATGTCCATTGCAGCACTATTTATAATAGCTAAGATATGGAAACAACCTAAATGCCCAAAAAACAGATGACTGGATCAAGAAGATGTGGTATATATATATATATCAATGGAATACTATTCAGCAATCAGAAAAAGATAAATTCATGCCATTCACAGTAACATGGATGGAGCTGGAAGGGATTATGCTCAATGAAATAAGTCAAAAGGAAAAAGAAAAATATCGGATGGCTTCCCTTGTAGGAAGTATATAGGGAAACCAAACAAGGGATGGGGCAGGGAGAAGAAAACCAATAGATTGGAGACATACAGCAGGGAAGGGGGAAGGTGAGGGATCAGAAGGGGAGGGAAGAGCACAAGAGACTATGGTGACAGTTCATGGGTGACTTGTGGTGGGAATTTTATAGGGGTTCACTTGAGAGAAGAAATCAAACACTGCACAAAAATAAACAATGATGTAAAATACATATTTATATTTAAAAGTTAAAATAAAAAATCAATGGTACTTTAATTTAAAAAATTAAAAATATGATAAAGTGGATATCAGTTGGAAAACAAAATCGCCTTGAAATGACAAATCTGTTGAGACTAGCTTTAAAAACCAAATTATTTAGGTAGTAAAGAAAATAGCAAAGCATGAATTACACTTCTGTTGCAAAAGCCCCAAAATATTATGTTCCATTAAATTGTGATTTTAGTTCATCAAGTAGGAATAAATCATTGGTAGCAAAAAGAAAAAGTCAACAACTTAAAGAATTTACCCAAGTCTAATTTGGGTCAAAACTTCTAAAAAATGTTACAAGAGGAAATACAATTCATTTAATTCCACAAATATTTTATGAAATGAGGCAGAATATTTTGAAAAATGTAAAATAATCAATATTGCCCATGTTTTGGAATCCATTTTAAATCTCAGACTTTCAACCTGGCAAATTCGCAACTTTGGCTAGTTAAAAACTGGCCTCAAAACTCAAAAAATCTGGGGTACTCAAATCAAGTATAGCCTTCACATACCCAACTAAACACATAGGACTCTTAGTTACAATCAATCAAAGTAAAGCACACAAACATGCCCAGATCCCAAAGTCTAATGAAAAGAATGGTGATAATGAAAGGGATAGGGTGGATATGGGAAGGAAAGAGGTGACTCCTAACAATGGGAGTCTGACTATTTTCAAGTTTGCTCCTGGGCCTGTGGAATGCAACACAGCCACATTCCTAAGTGCCTCAGGTTGAACCAGGCAAGTTAAGATGAAAAGAACATCAACCTCCAGCTTGCAGTGGTATGCAAAGGGCATGGAGACTCATGTTTTGGTTTTGCCACTTGCTTGTTGGCTGATTTCCTTAAACTATTATTTTTGAACCGTGGTCATGTTGTTTTTACAAACGATATAGGGGGATAACAATAACACCTTTTGCCATAATTTACTTTTTCGTTCTCTACATATATCTATAAATATGCAGTCTTTTACTTTTTTCACTTGGTAAATCATTTGAAAATAAGTTGCAACATCAGTGTTACTTTACTGAAAGAGTATTTTAATAAAGAATTTGTAGAAACAATTACCTCAATCCAGTAGTTCCAAATTCCAAATCCCAACTCCTAGTTGAATTTCTAAGATTGTTATAGAGCAACCCCGATATTAAACGGGTTCCTGGCTGTGGGTCCTCACCCGCGCGCTTTAAAGGGACTTACGAATACTCTACTACAGACACACGCAAAAGGGTTAATAAAAGGTTTATTTACAAGAGAAAAAGAAATAAGGAAAATGTACAACTCAGGGAGAAAATAGGGAAATAAAGTCTTTAATGCGTCCTACCCGATCCAATGACCTGGAAACCCAAAGTCACTCTCAGAGCTGGCCGGACGCTGCGAGCTGGCTGAGAGCCCAAAAATGGAGAGCCCCTCAAAGCTCACGTGTCTGCCTTTTGTATCCACCTGGCTGCTTAACCCCACCCTCAGGTCCCAGCCACCTTCCCTTTGGTGGTGATGGGATTTGGAGTTCCCAGTGTCTTTGGCTTTGACCTGGGGTGGGGGTGGAGTCCACAAAGCCTATATGGAATTTGCTTTGGGACATCCTTTTCCCCCTAACAAGATCAACGTTTCACGAATCAGAATCACCTACGGGGCTTGTAATATCACAAATTGCTGGGCCCCATCCTCAGAGTGCTCCATTCTGAAAGTCTAGGTTGGCGCTCAATAATTCGCATTTTTTTAAAGATGTATTTATTTATGCATACAAGAACTGTGGTACAGGCCAGAGGTGGGGGTGGTGGTGACTGGATTCACCAGAGACAGAGCGTGGAGTAGAACAGGCAGACTGACTGAAATACACTGCTGACGGGAGCAGCGGGCAAGGTCTGCTGCACCATGTGGGTAGCTCCCGGATCCAGTCCAATGTATGTATGAAGAGTTCCCAAAAATCAAGCAATTCTGACACCAAAAGAGTATCCAAAAATTCAACTCAATTCTAACACTATCTACCCAGAGTCATCATCAGATTCCACTCACAGGCCATTTGCAAGCCCAGGCTATTATGAGTGCTTGACGAACTAGTTATGTAAATCAGAGGTTCCCAGGTTGAATTAATTTGCTAGAATTGCGAAAAGAATTCAGGAAACCTGTTTACTTGCTAGATCACTGACTTATTACAAAGAATATAACTCATGAACAGTCAGATGGAAGAGATGCATAGGGTAAAGTATGGGGAGAAAGGCATGGAGTTTTCATATCTTCTCCAAATCTGCACAGAAGCTCTCTGGAGTCCCTCCTTTTGGTTGTTTATGGAAGCTTGATTATTTGAGAGTGGTTGATTATATCATTGACCACTAGCAACAAGACTCCATCCCTAGCCTCTCTCCCTTCTAGGGCAGGAGTCCCCATTATTCCTGTTGGTTTCTTTGGCAACAGCCTCCAATTGTTTTCCAAAAGTGCTTCTTCATTAACCTATCCAGAGACACTTTTAACACTCAAAACTTAGGAAATTCCCAGATTTGGGGGAGCTGTGAGCAAAGAACTGTGAATAAAGGGCCTCCCCTGGTGGCACAGGCTGTTAAGAGCAGCGCTGTGAAGCTGCCCGTGGCCTCTGCGGTGCCGGTTCGATCCTCGGCTGCTCCCCGGCCACCGGAGGAGGGTCCCACATGGCGCACAGACCTCTCCTGCCGCCCGCTGCTCCCCTCAGCAGTGTACTTCCGTCCTTCTGCCTGTTCTGCTCCCTGCTCTGGCTCTGGTGAATTCTCTCACCCTCCCACGCTTCTGACTGTACCCAGTGCTTGTATAAATAACAAATAAATAAATAAATCTTTAAAAAAAAATCCTTTGGTTCATTAATCCCATATAATCACATGCAAATTTTGATGATTTTTCTGAGAAACACAAAATTTTCCTCATTGCAATTGGTCCCCAGACTAATTTTTTTTAAAAGGATTTATTTATTTATGCATACAAGAGCTGGGGTGCAGGCCAGAGATGCAGGGGCGGTGAGAGGATTCACCAGAGACAGAGTGGGAAGAGAACAGGCAGACTGACTGAAATACACTGCTGAGGGGAGCAGCGGGCAAGACAAGAGAGGTCT